GGTTGGCTGGTCGAATCTGCTATATTGCTTTTCATATAAACATATAATCTAATATAATATAATTTAATTATTTGTATACATGGATTTCAGTCACTTTATATATATATATAATAAAAATTCATTATAAAAGCAACAGTAATCAGTGCTATATATGTAAGCACGCAGTTCAAATTTTTTGGGGAGAATTCAAAATTGTTTGAGACCACACCTTGCTTAACATCCGATTCCAAGCCGAGCCAAGCCAAGCTGAGCCAACATGCATAGATTTAAAAGCGCTTTTATGTTAATATTTTGCTCGCTATATTTATATATTTTATAAATTCATTATAAAAAAAACAACAGTAGCCATTACTATATATGTACGCACGCAGTTCAAATTTTTCGGGGAGAATTCAAAATAGTTTGAGACCACACCTTGCTTAACATCCGATTCCAAGCCGAGCCAAGCCAAGCTGAGCCAATATGCATAGATTTAAAAGCGCTTTTATGTTAATATTTTGCTCGCTATATTTATATATTTTATAAATTCATTATAAAAAAAACAACAGAAACCATTACTATATATGTACGCACGCAGTTCAAATTTTTCGGGGAGAATTCAAAATAGTTTGAGACCACACCTTGCTTAACATCCGATTCCAAGCCAAGCCAAGCTGAGCCAATATGCATAGATTTAAAAGCGCTTTTATGTTAATATTTTGCTCGCTACATTTATATATTTTATAAATTCATTATAAAAAAAACAACAGTAACCATTACTATATATGTACGCACGCAGTTCAAATTTTTCGGGGAGAATTCAAAATAGTTTGAGACCACACCTTGCTTAACATCCGATTCCAAGCCGAGCCAAGCCAAGCTGAGCCAATATGCATAGATTTAAAAGCGCTTTTATGCTAATATTTTGCTCGCTATATTTATATATTTTATAAATTCATTATAAAAATCAACAGTAGCCATTACTATATATATGTACGCACGCAGTTCAAAATTTTCGGGGAAAATTCAAAATAGTTTGAGACCACACCTTGCTTAACATCCGATTCCAAGCCGAGCCAAGCTAAGCTGAGCCAATATGCATAGATTTATAAGCGCTTTTATATTAAAATTTTGCTCGCTTTTTAAACGAATATCCCAATATAACAAATTCTCCATCCTATTTTAACTTTCTTTGATGCTTTTTAATCAGTCAGGTTACAAAAATCATTATCGATATCACAATGAAATCAATTTGAAATTTTTTTTTAATTATTGATAAAATTTTTAAATTGTTGATAAAAATAACTAGTATATATAGTGTAGTAAAACGTTTAAAATTTTCTGAGAGAGTTCACAATAATTTGAGACTACACCATAACACAATTGTACAATTTGAATGTGTAAATACAACATTATAAATGTATTATAACTACGTGTATATATCTATCTATTTCTTTATTTAGTGCTACCTGTGTATGATATTTTGTCAAATTTATTTGATAGGAATTGAATATAACCTTCATACCATGCAGTAAAATAACTACTGTTGACACCATTTCCTCCAACGATTTCGCAACGAATTGCCCATACCATATAATTAGATAGTCAGACACAATAATTTAGTTTTTAAGTAAATTTTCCTTTTCGTAGCTATACAAAAACATGCCTACCTGTTGCATTTAAAAATTGCATTAATAATAAATAGAAATGAAAAAATTTCTGATGCATCTTTTCACAGGTTTATTTTCAAATTAACTTCACACTAAAATAAATGTAACAATATCCTTATACTCATTGAATAGAACTATTTTGTTTTACAATTACATATATTTTATTTTATAGACTATTATAATTTATAATGCTATCATGGATTACCATTTTATTATTAAAAGCAATACTTAAGAAATGCACAAGTTTCTGTAACAGTTAATAAAATTTCAGATTTCCTCAAAATGTAAAAATGCAAAACGATTGGATTAAATAAAGTGCATCAGACAGGAAATAAATGATTTCAAATGGCTTCCATCAAAAAATGCAAGAATATGCAGTGACCATTTCTGTAATAAAGATTATAAGGGTTATGATGGAGAAAGGAAGGTAATGCTGAAGAAAGCATTCCCATGTTTTCAAGTTAGTTATATTTATATGTCATTAGTTACACAAGGAAGCAATTCACATCATCATTGTACATTGCAACATTCTTATCTATACAAAAAATATAAAATGCATTCAACAATATTCCATGTATTTTATTAAAACTTAGAAAGGGCATAATGACATTGTGAATAATAAACCCTGCTTAGGACTGGGATCATCATCATCATACCAATCACCATTACAAGTAGAGTCAATTTTATATTAATGCTTAACAAGTTAACTAAATTGGCATAATCAAGTTTTTATATGAAATACACATCAAGTATTTAAAGTAACAAATAAATTAGCAGAAAAATTTCTGGAAAAGTTTAAAAAAGTTTGAACATATGACTCTGATCAAAAATCATTCGCGTTGACACTGCATTTGTATGGGCATAAGGAATATAATTATCTTTGGACAAATAGCTTACATCTTCCTCACACTAGGACATTAAGAAAGTAATCTTGTCATACCTGTTCAATAATTTTAATAAGATTGTTTTAAATAACTATTCTCAATGTCATTTTATTAACACTACATTAAAAAGTGGCTACAAAACATTGATGGTATGCCTGGGGTGATTTCTACAAACCTTATTGACTAATGGTGATGGGGATCCTCTGGAACTGTAGAATCATGACATTCAATCTAGTCATGGATTGAGAAATCAATCCTTGATATATTTGATAACAAACATTTATTATAATATAAGAATGAAAAAAAGATGTAGGTGTAAGGCACTGGAACTATTATTTTTAGCAATTTATGATTTATTTTTTTTATTTATGACTTTATCCATTTTCAATGATACCGATATTTTTAATTATTATTATCCAAATTATACTCATGCCTATATAAATTAATTTGATTGTGGCTATTTCTATGCTTAATTATTTTATTTACTTGCCATAGGTATGCACAGCATTTAATAAATTAATGGTAATAATTAATAACACAACATTCTAAGCGCATAAAATATAATAAATTAAAAGTACAATTTTTACAAACCTCATTGGTTATGGTGATGGGGATTCTTTAAAACTGAATGATCATGATCTAACAAGTCATGGATTGATGAATCACTGGAATCACACATTATCTTTAATAAATTTAATAACAACATGTACTACAATTTAAGAATGAAGAATATTTTGTAAAACATTAAATGAAAAAAAATTTAGTTTGAATCACTCATAATTAATAAATTTTAATTAAATTGCAAGTTAGCTTGAATTGAACAAATTACAAAATTGTTTATTTTATAAAATTGATTGAAGTTGTTTAATATATTTATTTAATTTAGTATATTTTTTATTCCCAGACCTAAGCATTGTAAATAAAAATTTTAAAACCAATCAAGCAATAGAATTTAGGATCTTAGGAACAAGTGCTGTTAGTCGTTGTAGTGATTGGTAGTTTCTAGTAGTCTAATCTGTTAATGTTCGTTAGTGTTATCTGTTATTTATTTCAATTAGTAATTAGAATCAGTAGAGTTTAGTTTTAGCTTAATTAATTACTAATCAGTCGTCGTTTAGTGTTGTTACAGTTAATGAGTTAATTTAATTTAATAAGTGTTGTTGGTGGTTCACAAAAAATTTTTTTTATTTAAAATGCAAAAAGATACTTAACCGTCATACAGCAATATCTATCCTAAAACAGCATCTAGTACCTTTTAAAACATTTTGAAATTTTAAATAAAAGCAATATTCCGAAATTAGTAAATATGCGATCGTAACTTTTGCCTTGGGCGATAAAAAATCACCCTCCAATTTCCCTCCGGAAGTAAGCTCCTTGTTCGACCGTCAAAAATGAGCGAAGGCCGTTATATTTATTCTAATTACCTATATGGTTCCAACCATATATATACATAGAATCTTTTCCTGTTTACGTGCATATATATTTGAAGCTAGTTCGGTGCTTCGATTTTTGTTTTTTCCGTTGCTTCAGTAGATTGCGACTCGTCTGCTAAAATGGATATCGACAAAAAGTTGGAATATTTATCTCTGGTCTCGAAAATCTGCACGGAACTCGAAAATCATTACAGCTTAAATGACAAAGATTTGGGTTAGTTAGGGATTGTTGGTTTGTCATGGTATGCGTCATATCTAGTTTCACGTTTTTAGTTTCGTTTTTATTTTTATAGGAAATTAGTAGTTATTTTGTTTTTTAGATAGTTGACTTAAAAAATCACAATCAGAGACTTGACTTTTTTATTATTTTTATAATTTATATTTTATTTAAGCTTTTTTATTTTTTTAACAGATTAAAAATTTATTATTTTTTGAATTCACATTTCAGCTGAATATATAATTCACTTGGCTGAGAAGAATCCAACATATGATTCATTCAAGAAAAGCTTATATGACAATGGAGCTGAGTTCTCTGTAAGTTTGGCACCACAATTTTATTATTTTTAAATTAAAAATTTTAATCAGAATGTTATTCTGTTAACAATGCTGATTGATTTTTGAATTAATTTTAATTTAATTGGATATGCTTCCCTTATGTGTTCGCAATATCAATGTAAATTCACTTTCAGAAAAATGTGTTGAGTTGACCATGCATGATTTTGATTTTTGATTTTGAAAATAGCATGACAACGTTGTGCGACCTGCTATTTTATTACAATGTCGTTTGGTTTTATAGTTAATTTTAAATGCTGTCATAATATAACATGTTTCTATATAAATTAATGGATAAGTTAAATAAAGATGTGACATGATCATAACATATATAGGCAATAGTTTTTCTATCATGTATTGTTTATGCAGATTTCATGGTTATTTTGTGTTTTATTTAAGTTTACATTTATTTATGTTTTCACCTTTCATTAATAAGTTTTTAGAATTGCTGATTTCTCATTTAGTTATCTCTCTATTTTTGTTGAATTAATCTTTTCAAACTTAATTGTAACTGAAAATGTAAAGGGCAAATAACTATTTTTAATAGTGTAGTAGCGTACTAAAGACATGCAAGCTAAATCTTTTAAAATATACACCTGCTAAATGTTCAATTCTATGTTTAAATTTTAAATAATTTTTCTTTTTAGGATTCGTTCATTGGAAATCTGCTAAGACTTATTGAGAAGATGAATCCGAAAATGAAAGCATCCAGTTGTTCTGGGATTGAAATATCTGAAGATAAGAGTCTTAAGAAGGCCTTGTTTCCTGGTCTGTCACTGCCCGATGATCCGTCTGTTAGGGTAGGAACAATTATTTCAATCATACAAATCAGTTCGCAACTGCTAACCTTATTTTGTTTGTTTTTTCATCAGACCATGTTGGAAGCAGAAGTCAAGAAGGAAACTACAACAGATGCGAATGGTAAGAAAGACAAAAAGTCACCGTCGTCCCCATCTTCTCCAGTTAGGAAGAAAGAAAGAAAGCATGAGAAACGAAGCAAGAGGTCCAGGTCATCATCAAGAAGCAGAAGGTCAAGATCATCGTCAAGAAGCAGAAGGTCAAGATCATCATCACAGTCAAGAAGGAAGAGCAGAAGATACGATGAAGAGGATAAATATTCAAGAAAGAGGAGAAATGCTGATGAGGATGATGACTCTGATAGGAAAAGAAGACACCGTAATGAGGAGAGCAATAAAAAAAGTAGGTGGCATGAAGACCGGGATGATAATAAAAGAAGTAGAAAGGCAGATGATGATGGCAATGATCATAGAAGAAAAGAGTTGGCTTTGGAGCCAGAAGTTGGCAAGGTAGTATTATTTTTAAATAATAGCCATTATCTTTTTATTCTAGTTTAATTGAAACATTTTTATATGATTTTTCTATTTTTCTTTTTGCACCAGATATACAGTGGGAGAGTTACTAGCATCACCACGTTTGGTTGTTTTGTCCAGTTAGAAGGACTGAAGAAGAGATGGGAGGGACTGGTTCACTTATCACATGTTTGTATCTTTATTGCATACTTGTATGATTATCACTCGTTTGTATCATTGTCGTTTTTCTCATTTATAAATTCAAATTGCAAATATAATTCAAATGTTTAATGTCTTTTTAAATTTTTTCATTGCTATTGATTTCAGTTGATTTTATCCATTATATTTTTTGACTTCATCAGTTGAGGAGAGAAGGCAGAGTTTCAAATGTATCAGAGGTAGTTCACAGGGGTCAAGAGGTCAAGGTCAAAGTGCTGACATTCACTGGTCAGAAAACTGGCTTGAGTATTAAGGTTATAGAATGTTTTTTTTATTGATATTGAAAAAAAATGCTGTTTTGGAAAACAGTCAAGCCTTCATAAATGTTTTAAATTTGCTTAGATTATTTTACTGATTTTCTGGTATACAATGAATTAGACAAGTAAATTACAAATTTATTGAATACTAGTTATTAAATATTAATTATTTATTAAAAACTCTTTCAATTACTAATTAATTTCTCAACTACTTCAGGATGTTGATCAGGACACAGGAGAGGATTTGAATCCTTCAACAGTTGACTACAAGAAGGAAGACATCAGTTCAAGAAATCCCGACAGACCGACCACAGTTCCTTTATTGGAGGGAATGATTCCAGAGGTGTGTTTTTCTAATCAAATAATACAATTCAGTTATATTAAAAGATGTTAATGTCAAATAAGTATTGATAATTATAAAATAGATTAATTGAAATCAATTTTATACAAGTGCGATGACGAAGACAGTCGGAAGACCATCAAGAGAATTTCTTCACCTGAAAGATGGGAGTTGAAGCAGATGATGGCAGCTAATGTACTCGAGGTTGCAGATTATCCTGACTTTGATGAGGAGACAGGAATTTTGGCTAGAGAAGATGAAGGATCAGGTAGCGTTGTTTGCTATTATTTTAAACCATTTACCAATTTTACTTTCATTCGTCAGCTGCGAAGCTCTTTATGGTGAACTCAGATTTTTGTATGTGTTGAGTATCTATCTGATATTTTTTAAATGGGAAACTTAATTATTTTGTAACAATACATTTTTCATTTGTTCATTGCACGGCATTTGTTTTAATTAAAAAATAATTAATATTAATATGCAGATGAAGATATGGAGATTGAGTTGGTAGAGGAAGAACCACCATTTTTGAAAGGGCATGGGAGGGGTGGTATGGACTTGAGTCCTGTCAAAATTGTCAAGGTTTGTTTTCATTCTGTGAATAATTTACTTTTTTCGTAAAACAAATGATTTTTTTGTTTCGTGTGTTGTACAGTTTTATTAATTTGATGAATTATCCTGTATTAAACAAAAACAGAATCCTGACGGATCATTGGCACAAGCTGCAATGATGCAAAGTGCTCTGCAGAAGGAACGTAGGGAACTGAAACAGCAGCAGCGAGAGGAGGAACAAGCATCCGTTCCCATGGGACTTAATAAAAATTGGATTGACCCTCTTCCAGAAGGTTGTTCATTGTTCCATTTCTGTGCACGATTCTGCATGCTTGCATGTGATGTTTTTATGTTATTGTATCCTCATGTACAATATATTGTTTGATGATTGCTTTCAGCTTCATAGATTTTTGTTCATTTTGGAATTTTCGTCGTTGCAATGTTTTAAAATGTTTGAAATTCACTGAAATTTAAATAGATGGTGGCAGACAACTGGCTGCAAGCTTGCGAGGTCAGGGCGTCTCTATGGAGATGCCTGAATGGAAGAGGAACATAATGGGAGGAACGAAGGCCTCCTTTGGCAAGAAAGAAAAGAAATCCATTTTGGAACAGAGGCAAAGTTTGCCTATATATAAACTGAAAGATGCACTGAATATGGTGAGTGTTCATTTTTAGATTTAGTTTACAAATTTCAGATAAATTTTTTACTCAAATTTATTTAAACTTTATTAGAATAACTTTTTTTTAATTTTTTTTTATTGAAGTTTTTTTTTAATACACATTTAATTTTTCTCCTAACAGGCTATAGCAGACAATCAGATACTGATAGTGATTGGTGAGACAGGCTCAGGCAAGACGACTCAGATCACGCAGTACTTGGCGGAGGCCGGCTACACAGTGAAGGGCAAGATTGGATGTACCCAACCTAGAAGAGTGGCTGCCATGTCAGTTGCCAAGAGAGTGTCCGAGGAGTTTGGTTGTCTGCTGGGACAAGAGGTTTGTTGATCAAATCAATTTGTTTATCATATGTTTGATTTATTTATTTTTTTATAAATTGTAATTTTAGTTGTACTGCTATATAAAGTATTTTTAGTAGTTGTTTTAGTTTCTTTTATTTCTGATTTAGAACAATTATTGTAATGAGTAAATTCATTAATCGCATAGGTCGGCTACACAATACGTTTTGAAGATGTAACAAGTTCCGAAACGATGATAAAGTACATGACGGATGGAATGATGCTGAGAGAATGTCTCATAGATCCTGATCTCACTCAGTATTCAGTCATCATGTTGGATGAGGCCCACGAGAGAACCATACATACTGACGTACTCTTTGGGCTCCTCAAAAAAGTTGGATACTTCTCTTTTGCTTCTTGTATTTGCATTGTTGTAATTACTATTTCAGAGAACTACTAAATTAAATCACTTTAATATTTGAAGAAAATGGAGCAGAAAACATACATGCTCTTTGTGGTAGAGTATTGAAATACATTTATTACATTTTTATATTATTAACAGATGTTGATTTATTTTAATTTCAACTAATCGTTGTAAAATGATTTTTAAAACAATGTGCAGGCAGTAAAAAGGAGACCTGAGTTGAAGCTGATAGTGACCTCGGCAACGTTGGATTCCGTGAAGTTCTCACAGTACTTCTTTGAAGCTCCTATCTTCACAATTCCCGGCAGGACGTTCCCTGTGGAAATACTCTACACAAAGGAAGCAGAAACTGATTATCTCGACGCGGCACTCATCACTGTCATGCAGATACATCTGACTGAGCCACCTGGTTAGTTGGGTGTGGCGTCATTTAATTCCTTTTGTTTATATGAGTAGGGTAGGATGTACGTGGGAAGTAGTGTTTTTTACTCTAGAATAACAATAATCTTTTCATTAAAGTTCTTAGAAAATATCATTATAGTATAAAACTAGCTTGGTAATTTGAATTTTATAAATACAACAAAACCAACCATTGATTTGGTAATAATTTTATACAATATTTGACGTCAATCAGGCGATATCTTGCTCTTTTTGACTGGTCAGGAAGAGATTGATTCAGCTGGTGAGATCCTGTATGAGCGAATGAAGGCATTGGGACCTGAAGTACCTAACCTTATTATTCTTCCCGTCTATTCTGCTCTGCCCAGTGAGCAGCAAACCAAGATATTTGAACCTCCTCCTCCTGGCTCCAGAAAGGTTTGTAATACGTTTTTTACGAATTTAAATTTGTTTTTAAATGCTTTATTCAGTCATATCATCATAGTTTTCATCATTATTTAACTTAACAGCAAAATTTTCGGGATATAATTATTCTCTTAATTGTTTTGTTCAGTTTTATTATCGCCATAGTCATCCTCATTGCTTTTGGGTGATAAATTGATTTAAATTTAATTTTTAATGATGACTTTTTAAATAGGAAATTTTGTCACTATAACTAATTTGCACCTGTTCATTACAACAAATCAATCCAGGTGATAATAGCAACAAACATCGCCGAGACATCATTGACTATAGATGGTATCTTCTACGTTGTCGATCCTGGATTTGTCAAACAGAAGGTCTACAATTCAAAAACAGGAGTCGATCAGCTGATTGTTACTCCCATATCGCAGGTTTGAGCGTTGATTCATTTTTAATTTATTTCTAAATCTATCTGTGTTCTGCCACCGAAATTAAAGGTGCTATAATTTTTCTCTGTAGATGACTGTTATTGTAATTAAATTCTATGATTGGGGTTATTTTAATCCTACTCAAATGACTCAATCATGTTGCATAGATGGTTATTTTGGTTAGGAATTTTCTTGAAAATACAAAATACCAAATCATACATTTAAAACTATCTAAATGGCCACACAGGCACAAGCAAAACAGCGGGCTGGCAGAGCTGGTCGAACGGGTCCAGGCAAGTGTTATCGTCTCTACACTGAGCGGGCCTACAGAGATGAGATGATGCCAACCAATGTCCCTGAAATTCAACGCACCAACTTGGCAAGCACCGTACTTTCATTGAAGGCACTGGGTGTCAACGATTTGCTCGGCTTCGACTTCATGGATGCCCCACCGATGCAGACACTCATATCTGCCATGGAACAACTCCATGCCCTGAGTGCACTCGATGATGAGGGCTTACTTACTCGACTGGGGAGAAGGGTGATTATTGATACATTTTTATGCAAGATTTATTTTAAATTTTAAAATGCTTCAAAATTCATTGCATGAAAATGTGTTATTTCATATTACCATATCATTTCCCTTACCGTCACAAACAAAACAAGTTCTTCGTAATTGTTTCTTGTTAATACGGATGAAATCATTCTACCAACATTTTAAATTTTATTTATACCAGATGGCAGAGTTTCCATTGGATCCTCAACAGTCCAAGATGTTGATCATGTCCGTTCATCTGGGATGCAGTGACGAAGTGCTGACAATAGTCTCCATGCTGTCTGTGCAGAATGTATTCTACAGACCTAAGGTTAATTTTCAATAGTGATTTTACCAATCCTATTCACACTTTTTGTAGTGAATTTTGAAATAAATGCAAATCATTATTTATCAACTATTACCCTAGTCTTTCATTAAATTAATTTAGGACAAGCAAGGTCTTGCAGATCAGAAGAAAGCCAAGTTCCATCAGCCGGAAGGTGATCACATGACCTTGTTAGCTGTGTACAATTCATGGAGGAACAACAAGTTCTCAAGTGCTTGGTGCTATGAGAATTTTGTGCAAGTGAAAACTCTGAAGAGAGCGCAAGATGTCAGAAAGCAAATGTTGGGTATCATGGACAGGTCAGTCATTGGCTAATTTTTATTGATTGGCTGAGAATTTTTTTAAATTAGTTCAGATGACACGACTTATTGACTTAGTGTTTTATTTTGTCTGAAGAAATTACAAATGTTTTACAAATCAGTGTTTTAACATGTCAGAAATGAGTGCATAAGAGATGTAGTGGTGTGAGGGTGGCACTGAAAAAGGTGGAAGGCACGTTCAAATGTAAGAAATGTGTTCATGGTGTGATTAATAGGACGGACGCAAGGACGGGGTTGAGTGGTGGTATTGAAAGAGTGGAAAGCTTTGTTTACTTAGGGGATAAGCTGAACGCGGATGGAGGATGTTTGAGCGCAGTTACGGCTAGAGTTCGTGTAGGATGGATGAAATTTAGGGAACTGGGTGGGGTATTGTGTGGAAAGAAATGGTCAGTGATGATGAAAGGGAGGGTATATAAAGCATGTGTGAGAGCCGCGATGGTATATGGTGGTGAAACTTGGGTGTTGAGGAGGGAGGAGGAAAGTGTACTGCAGAGGGCTGAAAGAGCTATGGTGAGGATGATGTGTGGGGTTAAAGTGAAGGATAGGAGGAGTAGTACAGAGCTGATGTCAATGATGGGACTGAATGAGGACATTGTGACATTGATAAGGAGATCGAGATTGCGGTGGTATGGACATGTGTTGAGAAGGGATGAAAGGGTCGGGATTAGGTGAGCGTTGGAGTTCGAGGTTGAAGGAGTGGTAGGGTTAGTCCGCGATTGGGATGGAGATAGCAGGTGGAGAAGGACAGGGTGAAAGCGGGGTTGCGTCATACTGAGACGAGTGACAGATGTGAATGGCGTCGAGGGGTATTTCGGTTTCATCATAGGTAGCCAAACGGCAACCCCCGATCTCGGGGAAAATGTCGTCTAAACGTGTGTTGTTGTTTGTTGTTTTTTTAACATGTTCGTTATACTTTGTGAATTATGTATTTGTAAACTTAAATTTGAAATTGATAATTTGAAATCATAATTTCAGGCATCAGTTGGATGTGGTGTCTTGTGGAAAGAACACGGCTCGTGTTCAGAAGGCCATCCTCAGTGGCTTCTTCAGCAATGCAGCCAAGAAGGATCCACAGGAAGGCTACAGGACTCTTGTTGACTCACAACTTGTCTACATCCATCCGTCAAGTTCTATATTCAATAGGCAGCCCGATTGGTTTGTTCATTTTATTATTATTTCATAATTTTTTCATTTGTTTAATTATGATTTCCTCAATATTTTATGTAGTTTTTGACATATCGGTTATTTGCAAAGTTGTAAATGAAATATTGACTCCAAATGTTAAACAACATAATATTTTATGTTACTTATATATGTCATTTAAAACTACCAGGGTTGTTTATCACGAACTTGTCCTGACAACTCGGGAATACATGCGGCAGGTGACTGCAATTGATCCAAAGTGGCTCGTGGAATTCGCTCCGAAATTCTTCAAATTCAGTGACCCAACGAAACTTAGCAAGACTAAAAAGAGTCAGAAGATTGAACCTCTCTACAACAAATACGAAGACGCAAATGCTTGGCGTATCTCGAGGGCATTCAAAAAGTTCCACGTCAAAGTCACCTTTTAATCTATGCCAACCAGACATTTTTGAACTTATTAACTTGTTGGATATTAATTATGAATACATTTTTATGTATTGTAGGAAAAATTTGAAAATTACCTGCTTGTAAAATTTCTTTGTTGTGTTTGTTCTGGATATGTACGTATGCACGATTACTTTCGTTATCGCAAGCTCGGAAACGTTCGGGGCCAGTGGCGGATCTAGCTGTAAGCGTTATTTGTGTTGAAAGATGGTAAAAGTCGTTGTTCTAACATTTAAGCCCGTCGACTAAAAAGTTGACCACTCCGTTAGCAAAAAAATTTTCGAAACAAGTTTGCGGTTCGGTCACCAAGTTTTGGGTATTTTTTGGAGAATTCCCCCGGTCGTCAACTTTTTCGGAAAATTTCTCACCTCCCGTTAGTCAAATATTTCAAATTTGTCTAGACCGCTCGCTGTTAGGTTACTTGATGTCGTCTTTCGAGTGTCGCGCTTAACATATAGTTTTAATTAAGTCCATCATATATATTATAAACATGGTTAAGTTTTATTAATAACTTCGTGAACTTAGAAATAAGTTATTTAATTTTGAAACTAACGTTAACTGTTTACTTTATTCAATTGAATTAAGAACTTTTGCGTCTGCATGTTACTCATAGTGTTCAGAACATGGGATTTTAAATTTTAGCTAACTACCATGTTCTCAATGCGACGTTGTGTGCGTCTATGACACCATTAAAAAAAGTTGGGATTTAGCGGAAAGATTCTTTTAACGCTTTCAGTTACTAACATTTCCCGAACCTGTCACCATTATTTCAATTTGTTTAAATAGATGAGTCACCACTTTTACAAACTTCCTCTAATGATCCGATGAGCAGTAACGATCATGTTAATTTCTTTTAAATCCTTGGTGCTACTTTTCAAGCACTTATTATTTCCAACGTTTTGTTTCTATTCACACTTTCTCTGGTAAACTTTGTACTTATCGTAAAAAAATATTCACTATCACCCTGTTATTTCAAACTATTATTATTAATAATCATTAACTGATAATATTTAAATTATATAAATATGCATAAAACATGTATACGTGCATGTAAACGGTGATGATCAAAAATAACCATCCATCGCAAGACTTCTCGGTTCTTTGCTGCAAATCAGTATCTATGACAATAAACTAAAGGTGTGTGCTTATTAAAGGTGTTTATATGTCGTGCTGCACTTGTGTGCGTTTGTATGTGGTGATATATTTTTATTATTTTTTATTACTTATTTATGTATTATTATTCTTTATTATTTTATTATTTGTTTTAACATTTTATATACACTTTATATATGTTATCTATTATGTGTTGATATCTGAGACTAAAACATTTTTTAAAAATCTCAGACTTTATACTCATACATAATGCAAGATTCTATTCACGAATCTGCTAATATTTCAAAATTATGCCTACAATATGGAAAGTTGTACTACAGCAAAGCAAATTACAAAAAGTCAATTAGCTGTTTTGAATGTGCGTTAAGATTCTCACGTTCAAATGAATTGGATTTGAAACTTCAATCTCTTGCTTATTCATACCTTAGTGAACTCTACTGGAAAGTTAACGATGCTTCGATGGCTGTGTCTTACATGAAGCAAGATTTGTTCATTGCTACAGTTATGGGTTTGTAAAAATTATTCATAATAATATATCTAGTTTTTAATTTAGTAAGAATCTTCATGTTTATAACGTTCAGAAAAGGCTATAAACGTCAACTCAATAATAATCTTAAACTCACTGAACAAATTCTCGTCCAAACAACTAACAGCATGCCCGGGAAGTTTGTTCAGATGTTACAGCAATTTGGCCAATGCGTATTATTTCAAAGGTGAGTTCAGGAGATCACTCATGTACAGACGACATCAACTGACAGTGGCTTTAAAGTTAAAAAATCTTCCACCAATCATAATGGTTAGCGGGAAACAACAAATTTTCCAATTTAAAATTTAATTTAATCCGTCGATACGTATTAAAATTGTTCTATTTACGGTTATAATAGGTACTAAAATAAATAAATATGCATGATGTAACTGAAAGCTGTCTGGTTCTGCTGACATTTGATGCACTACCATGGATACATTGAATCATCTGTTCAATGGATTCATTGAACCATCTGTTCAATGGATGATTGAAAAAGTCATCTGTTCACAGAGACTAATTATTAATTGCTAACTCCTTTTCATTGAAATTTTAATAACTTTTGATAGCAAAAATGATAACACCTTTGATTAAAAGCGCGTAGATACTTAGTAACAGTGATGCACACCTGTATGATGGATTCATTTGTTTGCTCAATGCAGGTGCTGAAGGAAGTAGCTTACCTCCATGCGATGATCGGTATGTACAAACTAGCGGTCAGGATATTGCAAAGATGTCTGCACCTGTCGGCAAAGTTGAATGATGATCTGCTACAACTTGCTGTCATGAATGACTTGAGTGTTCTGCAGCTGGTCCTCGCTCATTTCGATTCTTCATTGAAAGTTTCGGAAGAACATTTGAGATTATCAGAATTGTTGAATAATAGAGTATGCTTTTAACTGTTAATTCATTTTTTTGCTTTTATGTGTTTGTTCATATTGTTTATTTGCAAACTTTAATTCTTCTCATCTGTTTGGCTACTAGTCTAAATCAGATGTAACGTTCAAAAGTTTCTCGTTCGTCAAAATAATATTCGAAACAAATTTACTCTATTTTTTCATATTTGAAGATATTCACAATTTGTAATATAAACATAATTAACCTTGATCATAAATATTCGAATGCAATTAATTTAACTAGAGAGAAGAGGTTGAAGCATACAAGAACATGGCCTGCGTGCACCTGGCCACTGGTAGCTACAACAAATCAATTGAATGCCTCAACAACATTCTCCACCTGAACAATAACCACTTTCACAACGACCCCTACCTCCAAATGACGACCCACTCTATGCTGGGTCACGTCTACCTTGCTACAAATGAATTGAAGAAAGCCAACTTGTACTTTGAAAAACAATTGAACCAAGCGCTGAAGTGTTGTGATGACTCTGCTGAAGCAAGAGCCTGCTTCAATTTAGGAATGTTGTTCGAAAAAGCAAATAATTTCAAATCAGCTACAAAGTTGTATGAGAGAACACTTGCACTGGTTGATCACGATATAGACGCAACAATTTATGAGGTGGGTGGAAAAGCAGCACGTAATAATGATGATGCCCCCACACCTACTAAGAACTTCCCTCAAAGTCTTGTTGCATTCAGAGGAAGACTTTATTTCCACATTGGATGTTATTTTGAGAAGTTGAAATGTTATGATGTTACACTTGAGGTTCTGCGTTTTTAAATGAGTTAACTTATTTGTTTGTTTGCACTCATTGCGTGCAGTGCTTGTTTTTGTTCAGTTGTTGCCGTCACGCTTTTCAACTATAACCTTAAATATACAACGAATATCTTTTTTGAGTTTTGGACATTTTTTATCACTTATGCAACAAACAGTTGAACTATTTCTACTTTTCACTTCAATTTATTAGAGTTTAAATTAAGAGAACCAATATTTGGAACATTTACATTAATTCAGGCATACAAAAGGGCTTTGCAAATATACAGATCTTCAAATCTCGAAAACTGTGAGGCTGTTTGTTTAAGGTCCCTATCGCATCTGTATAGTCAACTTGATCAGATGGACTCATGTTTGAAATACTTTAAAATGTATGCCAACCTTGCATCATACTCCGGTGCATCAACATCTGGTAAACATTGTACTTCTTACATGTACGAAGCTAAATTAACTGATTTAATACGGCTTGATAAGTTAGCTCGTTCTAAACTTATTGCCGGAAATCTTCAAGAAGCTGTTGAAATTTTTGAGCTGTTTCTCAGTTCAGTTGACTGGCTACAACAATTTCAACAACCACAACAATTGCAACAGTATCAACCACAAAATAAGCAGCAAATCGAGAATGCACACAACCTCACTTATACTAGACTCCACGTTCTTGACAACTTGGCACATGTCAACTACAAACTTGAGAGGTATAACGAAGCCTTCAACTACTACAGCATGGCTCTGCCTTTGTGTCAAAATTTGAAAAGATTAAAAAGAGAAATTAGGTAAAACAATTTTATATTTGTTTTCATTTGTAATGCAGTTGAATAAATCTTTATTTTGAAGGCAAATTTAACATTCACTCAGATGTCTGCAGTATTTGGGCAATATTAAATTGAGACAGCAATGTTATATGCAGGCTCTGCAATTCTTTGAACAATGTTTAAGGTTGGTTCAGGCAAACAACAAAGATGTTAATTTTGATGGTGGTGAAGTTAAATTAGTAAGCAGCGTGGAGAACTTAAGTCAAACTGAAGTTAGTGATAAGCTCCTCGACAATAACAACATCGGTGAAAGCAACAGTAATAGTAACAACAATTCCGACCATGTCAACAACAATCCATCACCGATCAGCTCACCAAAAAGCACCGAAACACGGATCTTAGAGGCAATCCTATTGCTGAACATATCGGATTGTTACATGATGTTGGGTCAGCTGGCAGAGGCTCGCAACCATCTGTACTGCATCCTGAAGAACAGGACGACCACACGACTACTCATGCAGTACAACGTCAGGTGCTTTCAGAGGTGTGCACTCAACATGGGAACGTGTTGCATGTGGCTCGCTAGACTACATGAGGCTATCGCATCCTTCCTTGTCTACGCCCACGTGTCGCAATTGCAGTGCGTTCAAAGTTCTTGCTGCTACGATGATGCCGGCGACTCAAGTTATTGCAGCAATCATTCCAATGAATTCAAATGCTGTTCTAATAACAATAAAAATAATATTGCCGCAACTCATGGCAACCAAAACATTAACAACAACAACAAGAATGAAAATAAAAAAAACAACGCTAGTAATAACTACAATAACAATACTACTACTGCAGATAGTATTACTACTAATTATAGTAGTAGTGGTAGTTGTAGTAGTAGTAGTAGTAATAATAATAATAATAATAATGTTGATGAGTGTATGATTGCAGATGAAATGCTGGGCTACAAGATGATGTCGGAATGCTACGAAATGCACGCTCAGCTGCCTTGGGCTGTCGAATGCGTGCTAAAAATTAAAAAAATTTTATCATCTCTGTCATCATTCCAATCGCCATCGAATGATGCCACCTTAACCTCATTATCTCCACCATCGCTACCGTCAATGTTGAAGGACTTTAACGATTATGTTCAGTTCAAACTGAAGTTGTACGATATTTTAATTGGACCGACAAACAACAATCAATTAAATAACATCATCGACCAATTAAGCAACACCAACCAATTAAATGACACAATCAATCAATTAAGCAACAACCAATCAATTGACACAGTCAACCAATTAAGCAACACCAACAACCAATCAATTAATACCATCAACCAATTAAGCAACACCAACAACCAATCAAATATCACCATCAACCAATTAGATAACACCGACAACCAATTAAGTAACGCCATCAACCAGATGTTGACACATAACAACACTGCTACAATATATAATTGTGGAAATGTTGAGGGTCACAAATTTTGCAATATTATTATGAATAACAACGGCAATGACAACAGTTATAATTCCAATGTTAATAACGGTGGGAACAATTACAATACAGATAATAATAATAATAATATAAATAATAATAATAATATAAATAATAACAGCAACAATGACATAACAGCTTGTGCATTGTCTGATGATGAGATGATGAAAATATTTTCATGCGGTGTGAAATATCTACTCAACAACTTTTCCGCTTCTGGAAAAAAATCATGGAAAATTCTGTTACATCTGGTTGGTTGTTGTGTTGAATGCTATTGATGTTGATGTTGTTTGTTTTCGGTGTCTTGTTGTCGGTGGAGTTGTTGTCTGTTGTTAGTGAAGTTCGTTGCTGGTGAACAACACAAACATCAGTTTGTTGTTAGTGGTGCTGTTTGTTTGTATTGTTGTTCGTTGGGCTGTTTGTCTTTGTAATTTGTTGCTAATCTGGTTGCTATGATTTGATGTTGTTTGTTTGATTGTTGTTATTCATGTTGAGCGGCTGTTCGTCCAAGGCCGCCGCTTGTTTTCAATAAGCCGGTGAACAATAACATGGGGGAATGGCTGTAAGATTTGGGTTAAAATTTTTTACAGTTTTATAGGTCTGTAATCTGGTCCACTAATTATCAAGTTTATTTTGTATGGAAAAGATGTTGGCTTAATAATGTGCGTACATTGTAAAGACTTACATTCACGTGATCAAATAGGTCGAGAAGAGTTTGTGGAAAATGCAGTGCGTCAACGATCACAATAACAATGACAACAACAATACTATCAACAACAACAGCTACAACAGCAGCTGCAGCAATGGTAGTAGAAGGAACAACTACAAAGATATGTACATTACTCAAGAAAGTTTTATCAATAGGATGAAAAAAACTGGCAAAAAGAATGTGACCATTAAATGTGACATCAACAACAACAACAACAACAACAACAACAGTAATATAAATGTCACAAACGACAATAATAATAAGATTAAGAAATCAAACGTAGATACGTCCCAAAGAAACTTGATTGGGGCGATGATGGTAATGGTGACACTTGGGTTCACCATGCGAGCCACTCCAACAAATAATGATGGTTATAACGGTATATAATCATTTTATTGCATTATTACATTTTCAAAATTATAAATTCCAAAAAGCCCGTCGTTTCTTTGAAATCTTTAACCGAGGGTGCTTTTAAAGACAAATTGTGATGAAAAAATATTAAGCAAGAAGTCAAGCAATTTAAGAAAAATAATTGACATGATTTTAGAGTTTAATCATGAATTGAAATATCACTACTACCACCACTACCACTACTACTAGCATTACTTCTACTTCTATACTATTACTACTACTACTACTTTTACAGCCATCACTACAACTACTACTTCTGCTACTACAACTACTACTATTGCAGCTACTGCTGCTACTACTGTTACTACCACATATATTACTAATAAAATTAAAAATTAAGAATATAATAGCAATAATAATAATAACAATGATAATAATAACAATAATAATAATTTTTCAGAAGGTAAAAAAATTGAGAGGTTAATAATTTTCCCAAGAAAAGACAAGAATAACCTGATGAGAATATTTGTTAGTACACTAAAACGTCTGCCCGGTTGGTTACATGTTTTTTATTAAACACACAGCCATTCAACACATAACTAACTAGACCTTTTGTCGTTTGTCGTAAATGAAATCATAAATTGCTAATTTGGAAGTAAATATACAATTAAATATAAAACTAAGTATGTATGAATTGTAGAATGCCTTAAAAAGCAGTTCTACCGTTCTGTGTATGACGGGTCTGTAGAATAAAATACAGAATTAAAAATAATTTTGATGGATTAAAATTGAACGAATTATTTTATTATATTATTATTATTTCACTTTAATTTATTATATGTTAGTTATTATTATATTAAATTTTAATAAAATAAAATTTGAAAGTTCATATTTTTTAAACATTTTCATATGCCAGATATGCCTTCGAAGTTCTTCATACATCTAAAGCATCTCTTGCATCTGGATGAGGCACTCCGACTGCTCCTGACATTAGTACGACGATCATTTGCATTTGTAAAAAGTATTTCTGTGTTATAACTTTTGGTATTTACAATCCTTATATAAGTTACATAATTGAAATAATAACAGTCAAATTTTTGTAAACTTGATGACAAGAGTTATTTTTATGGTTTTGACAATTTTGCATTCAAATTATATATATATAATCAATATAAATCAATGTTAGGTCTTATGATTTTAAAATGAATGTTGTATTGTTACTAAGTATCCATTATATGAAACGTATAACAATCTCTACAGAGGCAAAATAAAGATATGTATTATTTTAAAAGTATCTTAAACTTTAGTCAAGACCCACCAAATATTGATAGATTGAAAGTGTCTTGATGAATGAAACATCGGATTGGTCGTTTAAGATGCACACGAGATTCACAACTATCAAAAGCTTTGTCATCATTATCCAAATGACAGGTTTTGATAGTTATGTGGTTTTTTGTGTTATTAGTTCTTCATTATTTGTGTGCATTTCATTATTTACTTTTTAACAAAATGATCTTCTGTCCGTTAAAATGAATAATATCATTCTTTTCTAGCTCAAATCAGTAGATGACATAGTTTTAAGTAAAATAAGTACAGAGATTAACGAAATACTCCAAAAATAGCCGAGCTGTTTTTGTAAGATCTGGTATTTAAAATATTTTGTGATAATGGTTACGAGCAGTTATATTTAGCATAGCACCAATTAAACGTTAATTTCGTATGACAGGATTCAACGTGATTAACAACACAGCAGATGAGAGTACATTGAAATATTCACAATCAAATGAACAAGTCAAACTGGCAGATATCTACTTCACGTTGTTAGCCACATGTGGTCAGTTTACGAATTCACTCATCAATTCACACCAATCGTTCATTCATTCACGCGATGACCAAGCTGGTTATTATGTTTTGCTCTAAATAAATGTATCGTTCTTCTTAACATGAGTGAGAAATTATGATGCAAATGTCAGACCCAAAGAAATTATTCTACTCGACATGTGACGTGACGAAAATGTTGAGAGACGGACACAGCGAGCCAGCCACCTGCAGCAACAGCAGCAACCAGCACCTACTGCATCTTCCGTGTAATCTGCCTCATTTTTCCCATCATCACCCTTCCAAACAACATCATCAAGACATCGACATCCATGCCAGTCAACATCGAGACGGTAACATGACAAGCATTCGTTACTATCAAGTTACATCAATTTGACACCAGACAACCACGGCACGTTACTACAATCATCATCATATTATGTAACAGCAAAAACCGATTACATTAGTTTTTATTTATTTTACATGAAATTTATTTTTCGTTAGTCTCACTCAGTTCAAAAAGAGGATTGTTCAAACATGACCTAGCAAGCAAGCAAGTGCAGATTAGCACACAGCGCACGTTCACAATGGCTGCACCTACCTCTCGAGCACACAAACTCATGTCGACACATCTTTCCATCAAACACAATAAATAATGCATGTTTTGGAAATTTTTTAATTTATTAAAAATAATGATCAAACATTTGCATTTGTACAAAATCTTTATTTTTTTGTTTAACGTTTCTCTGTTATTTTCAGCAACCAAAATAAAATCATATCTCTTTCTTGACTTCAAATGTTAAATTAAATAGAAATCGTACGAGCCATTGACAATGCAATACAGCTTACAAGTCGTACAATCATGGATGCATCTACACATGCACACATGGGTTCGACCACACATGCACACATGGATGCAATCACACATGCACACATGGATGTATCCACACATGCACACAAAAAATAATAAACATAATACCAGTTACATTGAAATAAAAATTTAAAAAACAACAGAAAATTGAAATACCAAAAAAAATCCAACAGAAACTTAAGAACCATGGAAGTGAAAACTATGAATTATTACAAGAAAACTCTGCTGACTCACACAAATGCATCTCTAAAGTTACTTATTTGAAAAAAATGGAGAATTAAGGCACTTTTGAAAACGACATTGGAAACAGTTGTGTGTTGATGAAGAATAATAAAGTAAGGAGAGGTGTAGTAAGGTTAGATATTGTCATTGTTATTATTGTTGTTACACGTGCTACTGTTGTCGTTGTTGTCGTCATCATTGTTGTTGTCGTTGCCATTTTTTGATGAACTGTTCTTATTAATATGATTAGCATTGCAGTAGTTGGAGTTGTTGGAATACATGACTGGAGAGTCATCGATATTGTTTTCATCTTCGTCCATCTCGTTATCGCCGAGGTTGTTGTTCTGCATGCTGTTGTTGCCGTTGTTGTTGGCATCGTTGGATAGAGGCATGTAATGCAGGCGAGCGTTCTTGAAAACGTTCAGAAGATCGCATTTCACATCCAGTTTGATGGAAAGAGGAACTCTCTTCAACTCCGACAGCAGAGATAACAAAAAGAGTTTGTCTTCATCATCACATTCATTGTTGACTGCATTATGACTGTTGCTACTGCTGTTGTTGTTGTTGTTGTTCCAGCAATCAGATTCAATTTTGATTCGTTTCCGACTGTTTCCATTGTTGAAATCCTCATCCTGGTTGTTCATTGAGAATTCAAATGGAGATTCCCTCTTGATGGACTGATGGTTCAATGGCAGGCTGTTCTTGAACATGCTACTAGAAAGTTCTGACGGCTGAATCTCAAAAATTGAAAAATCGGGCCCATCGTTGTTGCTGCTGTTTATATTGCTGCTGTTGTTGTTGTTGTTTGCATTGTTGTCATCGTTCTCAAACTGTTCAGGTTGTGCGTCGTTCAAATAGGACTCAACATCATCAATGTTACTGGAAGGAACACCCTTCACAGTCAACAAGAAGCTGAGCTTGTTGAAGTATATGTATTTCGTCTTGCGAGGTTTGCTAGCATTTTTTATTTTCGCCAACTCACGAGCAAAACTGTCTCTGAAACTTTTCCATTTTCTTCTGTAGTGGGAAGCTGAAAGTTTATAAGAAGTTCATTAATTGATGTTAATTGAGATTTTACTGAAAACAATGTCACATTGAATGGCAATGTTGTAAAAAAATTAGCATAACAAATCTTGCAGTTGTTGTAGTGTAATAAATGAGTGAAAATGCAAGTTTTATCACCAAATAATTAAATAACAATCAAAAACAACAATCGAAATGTAATGGAAAGATTTTATCAGATGTGATTAATTAGAATTATTGACTCATTTATAGTTTTGTAGGCTATTATACTATAGATAAAACGTTAAAAATTAATCAGATGACTTATTTTAGCAAATTATTTTAATGCTGCAGATAAGATTTCTCAAAAACTAGTAAAATATCCTACATAATTTTAATCTGTGGTTAGTTTCACACACCTTCATGCATTCATGAAATATATCATTCAGCCTAAAAAACAAAAATAAAAAGTTATAACTATATAATATGAACAATTACACAATTATAAAAAGAGCAAATTATCAAATTAAATTCATTCGAAATTCTCTTTTCCTTTGAAACAATTAAATTGGAAAATTACTAAATTTTATGCAAAATAATTTTCACACACTCCTGCAGTTTATGCAAACATTATTCCACAAAATGCCCACTCTTAGGTTGGTTAATTATTAGATATATTTAAACAGATTACAACGAACATATCGCCGGCAAACTAACCTATGAGGGTTTGCTCAGCACCGGGCCTCTCATCGAATTCTGGATGGTACTTTTTGATGAGCGTGTCCCACGAAGCTCTTTTGCTTGCTTGGTTGTTGTACAGTGGGTCTGCATGATTCCATATTGCAGGTCTGGCTTGAATCTCCTCGATGAAGTCGTTCGGAGAAAATGATGACTCGATTGTTTGGAGCAGACTGTCCATTCTCAGTCTGTTTGCCATCATCATTTTGTCAGATATTCACTTGTCCTAATGAAAAAAAAACAAATATTTAAATTAAACTGAACAGTTATACGGGATATAACAATTTTATGATTCAATAAAACTTTTAATAATGTTAATGTTTAATTAATTTAACATTAATATTTGATCAAACATGTTATTCAATTTTAACCATTGAACTTTCTACTTTTTTAGTTAATAAAAACTGAATTTAATAAAATCTAATTATAATTATGATTCATTGAAGATCAAACTGATTGTTAATGGTTTAGTTAGATTAGAGTTTAATAAACTCAGTTTATGCATATAAAATAAATATATATAAATAAATTAAAATACAAAAAAGATTAAAAATTTTATTGCAAAGAAATTTTGTTTTGATAAAAATTACTAACTCCTCGGTAAAATATAATCAATGCTACTGTTACTAAGGGGGCCGTCAGTTGAATTGAGTGAAGACTTCTTTTTAAATTAATTTTGCTGGTGTTGTGGTGTTTGTGTTTTCCTAAAATACGGCAATAATAAACGTTCAACGGTTTAACAATCAACCGTCCAGTTGGGTTTCGGATTTTTTTCAATCATTTCAACAAATGCAAATCAATGAGGAGAAAGAACATTCATTTATTTATCATCCTAACCACTAATCTAATGGATGAAAATGATCAAAATGGGTCAAACGATTAAACGGGAGTAATAACCAGATGAAACCAGGAATAAATTAAACATTTAAATAACAAATCTACATAATTTATAAATACATACATAAATAAATTTACAAGCGAAAAATAAATAAATTAACTTTCGACGCAGCGATAAATAAGGAGCAAAGAACTATCAGTAAACATTGAGACTTAAGAAATATTAATTTATAAATCGCTCTTTATCCGATGCGGAAAATAGAAATAAAATTGCTTAAAATGAATTTTAGATCGACAAAACAAAGGAACGCAACTGTGAGAACTTCAATGGCGGCTGTGGTAGATAGCTCGGCAGCAACTACTGCAGCAACGCACGAACACACGATTAGCTAACGTTTCTATACATATATAAATATACATATATACGTTTTATTGATACATAGTACCAAATAAAATATATACATAATATGTATATATATATGTATATATATACGATTGCATTATATATTCAGTAAAAACTATAAATACATCATTCTATATATATTTTTTATATTCACATAGTTTGATATTTACGTATACAAACTATATGAATTGGACGCATGTTTATGCGCCTGTATGTGTATATATATATATATATATATATATATATATATATACAGTGTAGTAGCGAATGTGTGGCTGCCTGGTTTACAATTCAGGTTATTTTCTCGTGTTTTGTATGTGTATTCGATGCTCTGTTAACAACAACTTCGTGGATGCATAGTGGAGAGTAAACTATGTAGCTGATGGGGTGTAGTAGTAGTAGTACAGTATAGTACAAACCACTGCGTGCGTGTATGCAGTAATGCTAGTAAAACTGATTGTATGTTACCGAAGTATGATGGCTGTAGTAGTACTATTTATAGAAGCAGTTGTAATAGCTTCAATAAAATTACTCAATTATTGTAGAGTTAGCAAGGGCAGGCAGTAGTAGTAGCAACAGCAGTAGTTGTATTAGTACGATGACGGTAGTGCTAATAACCACAGCTGCAGAAACAGCAGCAGCAGCAGTAGTAGTAGTAGTGTAGTAGCAGTAGTAGTGTAAAAGTAGAGTAATGAATTAATTGTCGTTTATAGATATGACGAGCTTATTTGTACTGCGTGCAAATTACAATCAGCCTACTTCACAACATCAACAATACAACAGAGTCATCTTGTTATTATATATATATTTGAAACCGCGGTTAAATTGGATGAGATTGAATTATTTTTTGATGCTCATCTCGCGAGTGCTGAATCCAACTTAATTGTGAGGGTTATGTTCTCCTATTGCGTCACTCAGCAGAGATAACAACGGCGCATCGCTAGAATTGCGTTTGACAGGCGCGTGTTTGTATTCAAATCCGATCACTGCAACGCAGAACCAAGGGGTTTTAACCATCACACCATATTCATTAATAAAAACATTATATAGAGAAGGTATTTGCACCATTTTTTTACGGATTTAAACTAATGAAGCATGTACAGTATATTGAGCGTGCAAGTATAATTGTACATGAAAGTTAAAAGAAAGAGTGCGTGATCTTCTCATCTAGAACTTTTCTACATCAATTGTCCATTATTAGTAAATTTTTTTTAAATATTTGTTTAAGCTAGTGTTGTTTAAGCTTGTTCAACCGTATCATGATGTTTTCATGATCATTTGTTTGTGACAACATTTTTAAAAGTTTCACGATGTGTAGCGGTTGGTTAGCATAGTTTTTTATAAACCAATTAGTTAACTTGCATCTACTATTTAAATGCCTAACAGACATGCCACCAACATTTACAAATACGTGTAATTATATGTATAACGTCAATTTTATTAAACAAATTTGCTAACAAGAACAGAAAATTGTAATAATCAATAAACAATGGCATATATATATATATTTATGTGCTCTGCTCAATACGTTGTCAAACATTCATTCACGACCTGACGTATTTCTGAAAGCTCTCTTCGGTCAGATGGATTTCGGGAACGTAGTAGGAGTACTGGCTGTCCAGCGGTGCGAAGTAGTACCCCACATTATTTCTTTGGTACTCAACCAGTGGAAAGGCATTCAGCTTGTTCCGCTAAACAAATCGAACACAGATAATATTGTAGTAATAATGGAAATCTATAATTTTTTAATAATTATAAATTGAATTTATTCTGAAAATATGTGATCGAGAGACCAAAAAGTTTGTGTACTTGCCAACATGTTTTTGAATCAAATTACACAACGCAGGAGCTGTAAAACTGAACAGCAAGAGTGCACGTCGAAACAAAGAAAATAACTACCTTAGAGTAATTTATTAGGGAAGGAATCGACTTCAGCATGACACTTATTATGGAAAATCTGTAAATAATTATATTTTTGTTTTTAGAGTTCTCCTAACGTTTGCGTTATATAAAAAAGACTTGATCAAAATTTTTAAAAATATAAATAAAAACGAGTCATACAAGCCAACTTAATTTTAGCGTAATAATATTTTTGCTATAAAAGTTTATAGTAACAAAAATGAATAAATAAATGTAAACTAGCTTGTTGCAAAATTCGAAGCTTGTAAGAACACAACGTCCGTCATTTATAAAAAGGAACTCTTTATAACCCAAGCCTTTCATCTTCTCAACAAATTCATCGTCCTCTTCAACAACACATCCAGCTATCCAGCGAGTTTTCTCACATTCCAACTGTGAAGAATGATTTTTAAAATTAAGTTCAATGATAATGGGAAAGCACGAGTGTGCTACAACGCATCATGGTAATTGATAATTGAAAAATTTGATCAAAAAAATTATTGGAATTGTGTAAAAATTGATTTACTTGGTCTAAATTATCGTAATAAATAGCAAACAAATCCAGATTTTTGTGTTTTTTATCATCAGGTTGTCCGTTGAGATTTATCTGAGTTGTTTCGCTTTTGAAGTTTTTATGGATATCCTGGATGTTTCTGAAAGCCGTCATTGAACGAACACACGGTCCCAAGTTCAGTTTGTAAAGTCCCTTAAATGATTTTACTGGAACTTTTGCTATTTTAATTGCTGGGTTGTACCAATAGCCAGCATACCACAACAGTCCCACTATCAGAGAAAGCAGAACAAAAATCAAAATTAACATTGCTATCCACATTTTTATGATTTTTTTTAGTTTATAAAAAGTTCTAACGCTACAACTTGCAATGATGCACTGAAAAACTTTTTGTTTTATAGTTTCTTAATAGCTGTTAAATAATTACAAATATATAGGTAATGTATTTAAAATTACAAACATTCTATTTGATTGTTAATGAGTTATCTACTTCTAATCAGTTAAGTGGTTATTGTTCACTTGTGCCGTTACAAGACTTCTCGTGCGCTTTCGGATGAATGAAATAAATGAACGAAATAATTAAAAAAAACACAAAAGTCACTCGTGAGAAGTTAATTACTGAAACAAAAAAAATGAAAAAAATATCAATGACAATGAAACGAAGTATCTGATCTGAACACAGAGGCTAAACAGACACGTTATCTCAGATCCTGTCATATTTTTCCTATTGCACACACACTTCGTTGGAAGAAAATGATTTCAATTACTTTTCTTTCACTGAACAACATTTTATATTTTAACGTTTTTCTGTTTCAATCACTTCAATACTAATCCTTCATTGAGCAACGAATTAGCATTTAAAATTTTATAAATTTATGTTTGAATCTTACATTTATTTTAACAGTTTTAAAACAGTTAATCTAATCATTCATTAATTGATCGAACTATTCACTAATCAAAAAACGAACTGATCAATAAATCAGATTCAGCAAACCTCAATCAATTAACCAGCCAACCTATCGATCCAAGTCAACAAACGGCCACCTTATAATGTTTTCAGAATTGAGCTATAACACTTAAACTTAAACACTTGAAAGTATTTTTGTCACAATTTGATAATTTTCTGTGAATTTATATAACAGAAAAAACAATAGATCAATGCCAACCTAAAACTTCAAGTCTTCAACAAAAAGATGATTTTGTAATTTGTTGTACATTTTAAAATATTTAGTAGATGTGGGCATATAGACTTTAGGTTTGAGCCGACTAATAATGTTATGTTATGAAAATTTTCAGCTTTATAACTTTATCTATAAAAAAAAAAAATCACAATTATTGTGATTACATTTGTTATATCGATACATTAATTTTTATAAAACTTAAAAGAATTTATAAAAGGGTGGATTGCAGATTACAGCAAAATTTCTAAATATAAACTTTAAACTATATATACAGATTCTATACATATGCTTTAAACCTATTTGAATTCAGTTTTATGTATGAGCTCAAAGCTCAACTCAGTTTTAGAAAACTGTTTTCTTTATCTATGGCTCAACCCTTTAAATTTACTTTTAAAATCTGATTGGCTCCGCGAAATTTAATTTTTGTTTACATAATTTTTTGTTTAAATTTAAATAGTGCGATAGAAATCATTCTCTTATAATAACTAATAATTATTAATTAATAACATTTTTTTGTCAAATCAAATAATTTTGCGCCATAATGACTAAAAAAAGAAGTTTAGCTACAAGAAAAACTACCAGCAGAGTCGGTAAGTTAATTTAATAATAGAGTAGAAAATAAGAAAGTTGAGTTGTGAAATTGAAGTACTGTAGTTAGTAAAACTAAAAAGCAACTAAAAAGTAAAGGTAGTTTTGTTTAGTTCAGTAGTAGAAAACTAGAGTAAAAAGTAGAGTGTTGGTAACAAGTAACTGTGAAAAGTCGTAAAAAGTCTAGTTGATTTTATTTTAATTTTTAAACAGCTTTTCTTTTTTTAATTAGGGCAATTAGGCAATTACAGTTATTTAATTTTTAATATAATAAACATTGATTTAGGAGTGCATTATATTAAAATAAGATAAATTCAAATAATTTAATCTTTAATGTGCATTGAAATAATTTTTTTTACATACTTGATTAGAAACTCATCATAACGAAAATGTCATCAGTCGACATACAGAGGCTGCCAACTTTTCAACAAACAATATTTCAACCTTTACAAAAATGCACGTTGATTCTAACTGTGCATCAACACCAAAAAATGTTAGAAGACCTCTGGCTCGAGAAGTAGGTGACTATTCCCCTAATCAGGAAAGCATTGAAGTGGGCTGGGATAGTCCTACCACGTATTCTCTTAGAACAACAGGTTTTTTTACCAAACTTTTTTTACCAAACTTTTTACTTTACTGAATGAAGTTTGTGAATGATTGCATGGTTAAACTAAACTCTTAAGCTATTTAAAAATAATTTTGCAATCCTAATTGAAATATCTGCATACTGATGAGATTTTTTTTGTTCTATTATTTTATGTTATTTTTTGTTGAATCAATGTATGAGGAAAGATTCATTAACAAAGAAGATAACCAAAAAATATTTACTTTTTTTAAACATGAAACTTCAATTCTTCAAAATGCCAGCATAATAATTATATTGTTGAGGAATCATTAACAACAAAATTAAACAGGTAAATCACAGCCAGGTGGGACTGCCATGGAATATGCTTCAATGATGTCATCCATCTCTTCAGATGCTAATCAACGATCACCCACCACATCCCTACCACCACAGTCATCATCATCAGACAACTCGTCACCGATCATGAAGTTGAGGTACACCAGTCCGCTGCAGACAACACCCACCAAACATCCATCATTAAAATGGTTACTTGCTGCTTGCATACATCAGCTTACATTTTCATGAAATTTTAAATTTCATTTTCTATTAATTTGCTTCTAGTTGCAGATTAACACATTTATTTTTGAAAGCATAGCAGTAGTAGCTGAAATTATTTTGTCTGATTTTTGTTTATTCAAGTTTATTCAAGAAAATTCATTCAATAGCCGATTGGTTATAGCTAAGTAGAAGATTTAATTAAAAATAAGACGGTATTAGTGATTTTTCAAGAGTTGCTCTGTTATTATGTCTATTCTAATTGTTTAGTTGGAAGTTTTATTGTTTTGAAAATTGGTTTTAACCAAAATTGAGATGATGACCAATAATTCAAATTTTGTTAAATTACCTGTTCCAGTCAAATGCTCATTAGGTTTATAAGTTTTGTTATACAGCTGACAATTATATTTATTTTTCATTTTGTTCATGTGATGTTTGAAGTATTTTATGATTTGTGCAGTTCACTATCTCCTATACTGAGGCTGAAAAAAGAGGCAGCATTGAATTCCAAGACATTGGTCCTCTCAGTCATAAATGCTCTCAATGCAGTTGCAGCAGAGGAAGCAAAAAAAATAGAACTGCCAAATTTGCCAAAGTTAAATTTAGAAAAAAACGTTTACAGTGAAGAGCGCAACTGTACAACTGTTACTCAATCTCTTTCTATGCATTCAACTCCGAAGATGAAAAGAGTTGCCAGACCTCTCACTGATATTGACAATCTCTGTGCTACCCCGACTCACAACTGCCACAACCACTTCCATGCTTATCCAGCCAACAACAAGCCGTGCAACCGCATAGAGGACAACAACAATTACAATAAAAATAAACGGGTTAGGATATCGGATGCGTCAAACGCTAGTCTCAATGAGTTGATGGATGGGCAGGCTGATGAGAGAACAGACGAGGAGAAAGTGAATGACAGTGCATGGGGGGATGAGGATTCGTTGTTTGGTGACTCTATTATCGAGGCCACTCAGAGAATGGTCGATGACCTCACATCAAACAACATTTTAAATGTTAATGCGCCTGTGCCTTCTACCACCAATAGTCTCATTTTAAACAACAAAAATGATTGTACTACTTCATCGACAGAAGCCAGTATTAAAATGTTGAGAAAGAAAGCAAATTTAGTCGGGGCATCATCATCATCAGGCACATCCACAGCTCATACAAGCAGTTCCAACTGTTTCGTCAAACCTGTCATGTCATCATCATCATCATCATCCACGAGCAGGACAACCCATGTGCTGAAGAATGCAGATCACAATTCCGATAGGAGAGTTCTTCCAAATAAGACTAGCAATTATGAATCAATATCGGATGTGAGCATATCAGATGACTTGCTCATTTCCTCGTACCTTCCCACTGATAACTTGTTAGCAGCAAACAGCCTCGTGGACGACACCATCGTACCGGCTGCCAACAGCAATGATCTTGATACACTTTCATTTAACTCTGCGCTGAATAAACTTAACAATAGTTCTTTCAGTGATAAACAGAAGAAGGAAGATATTACTAACATCAATGGAACAGTCATTACGTCATCAACATCTTCGACATCTTCATCATCAGCAGCAGCTCATCAAACTCGAAAGTTAATACCAAAACAGCTCAAAATGCAACAGAAGAGTAAATCGAATCAGCTGGTTTATCAGCAGCAGCATCAGCAACACAAACAGCAGCCAGTCGACATGAGTCCTGAGTTATTTAACAGCAGCACTTGCGAAGAAACCGATATGCTCGAGTTTCTTGATCTTGTTGAATGTTGGTTGCTTTCTAGTGCTTTTTTGAGTTATACAGTTTTAAATTTATAATTTATTATAATATGAATGAATTAAATACTTGTCATTAAAATCTTACATCACTTTTTTTCGCTCATTTTAACAGCTCAAGTTGATCCTATAAAATCAAAGCAAAAGTTGGAATCTGCATTCAATTCAGTTGTTAACTATTTGGAAGCTGCAGGTAACAATCGTTGCACGAACATGCAAGCTGACACAAGCAGAAACATTTCAACGACACCGTCCATGAACACTAAAACCACAACACCTAACTTTCAACGTGATCCTAACCCAAACAAAAATATCTTTTCTTCTAACTCTATTTCCATAAAATCTTCATCATTTTACCCGGTTAGATCTTCAAACAGCATCAAAAACAACACGTCATCAACTGCACCAACGTTGGGAAAACCGTCCTTACTTCCATCCCATCCGGAGATATCGTCAACGCTAACTTTCACCTCCAGTGCTAATAATAGCAGCAGGTTTGCAACATCTAAAGTTCACATTGCACCGCCTACGAGCAATGTTTCTCACACGAAGAATAGCCCAGCTGTGCCTCACATTACATCATCAGCTATGCTATCATCATCTGTGACTATTACAACAAAGAGTGCATTTTTAACAAAAAACAACTCAGCATTTTTTAACAGCACATGTACCAATAACAATACGAGAAGCAATTATAATGTGACACATTTGTCTTCAGCCCTGGTTCCATCTTCATCATCTCGAGTAATTCTACAACCAGTAAGCAAGCAAAACGGACTCAACAACAACAACAACCGCTACAATAGCATGAATAACATCAGCAACAATAACAACAGCAATAAGAAAGACAATATATTTTCTCGCAAATGTTTCAGCTCTGATAACATTAAACCTACCCTGCAATTTCATGGTAGCAATACAAACAGTACAACGAACATGAATGAACCAAACGTGTCCAGTAACAGTAACATCAACAAAACATCCAATTTGTTCTCCAAAGTCTGCACTGCACAGCAAAAGCAACAGCAGACTTCTTACAACAGCAGCAGCAGCATTAAAGTATGTTATACAACTGAGGAGATAGAGAGGAAGAGAAGAGAGGCAGTGATTAAACTGACGGCCAGGTCTCAAGTCAAGCACTGTTGAGCAAATAATCATGATGATATCTTTAAAGATGAGACGATGACACGTGAGGCGGTTGGGATGACAATGCAAGTCACCCACATGGCATGAATACTACGTTTTCTAATTAGAATTAATGTACTTGCGTAGATATTATCATTACCCAAAAACACCCAATGCATTCGTCAAATCATTTATTAATGCATAATTATTAATGAATTAATAGAACGAGCAATTCTTTTGACTCTCTTGGATGTTTTCGAATTTTTTGATAAACATTTATTTGTAATGTTTGCGTATACATACATTTTTATTGTATAAATGGCATTTCAAGCTCATTGTATAATAATTAATATCAATTAGTTTTGCCTTGATGTGGTTGGTTTTAAATAATTTTGTCGTAGATTGTTTTACATATACGATATACTCGGCTACTAACCCGAAGTTTAATCGAATTTCTTACTTAACCGCTTTGCAACTCGCTTCATCATGCAACTGGATGACATTCGATCTTGTTTCAATAGTAAATGGCATAATTAGCATGATGGGCGTTTGTTCTACCGTTAAAATTTTGTACAAAAAAGCTTTGTACGTCCAACAGTCGCAACCTTCAACCAACAATACACAGCAAAACCAAGTTACTGGAATCATAGATCTCACGAGTATGTGGTCCACCAAAGCCAACTTAATCCTCAATACTACAAAAAATCACATTGCCTACCGCGGTTTCGATGGATACGGCGTAAACGTCCAGTTACATTCTGATTAAAGACGCGAAGGATTTAGGCGCGGAAGGTGATTCATCTTACTTTCCTTCTTTAATTTGGTTATTGATAAGATTATTGAAAACGTAAGTTAGGGAATGATAACGACGACTTGAACTAATTGTACTTACCAAGATACGATTTTGGGCTCTCCAGGGCAATAAATTTGAAAAATCTTATCAAGCTGTGAAAAATTAAGTTATTGATTGAGTGAAATCACGAATATTTATTGAGATAATTGAACATTTTTATAAACCTTACGATACGGATAGTAGAGAGTACAGACCAGCACCCATAACGGTAGTTATCGTCACAAGACATTCATAAATTTCGTTTCGATTCGTTACACTGCCAACTATCTATCGTCTTTAAAAAACACTTGACAGCAGTGATCGATTTGTGATATGCCCGAACAAAAGGCAAGCAAATGCGTTTAAATGAAGTCATCATCTGATCTGGTTATCGTAATGAAAACAGTATCACTACATAACGCATCCAAAATTCGATTCTCGATACGATGGATCTCAAGGCATGAAATAAATTGAAAAATTATCTAGACTGTTATTGAAATGCAAAACTGCAAACATAATACCTGTACTAATAGTATGCCATTTTGAGAGACCACGAACATTTAAAAGGACACTTCGTGTTTATCAAATGTTGAAACCAAATGGAAGTAAATAAAGACATAATAAATGAAACAGTATTATGAAATATCATCAATAGAAATCAAGTGTAAAAGCGAACATTGTTAAAAACCTCAGCCAATTGCGCAATCATGATGATTGTCATAAAGAACAGAATGTTACAAAATCTTATCACAAATTTATCACCCATCTGTCTAATATCTTGACCTTTTATATTTGAAATTCAATTTGAGGAGGTACTTCATGTTGACTTGTGCCACGTCGTAAACAATGTACCTGTAAATTGGAAAAAGTTAGCAGCTGGCCTAAAACTGAAGAATGTTTAACTAAAACCACAAACGCAGATGAATGTTTAACTATATCACAAATTACGGTTACAAAAACATTAGCACAAACGGATAATAATACAATGGTAGGTTGGTAGCAACTCACTCGTTGTACAGCAGACTGGTCAGCTTAACTTTCGTTTTTACTCCTTTGCCCATTGGAATGACGACACCATCTTCACACACGTAATTCTGCTTCGGATCAGGTGCTGTGGTACCAAGACCTGTAAAAGATATTAATACAATAGCCATGAAATTGTCTACATTCAAGTACTGCATAGGGACAGCATTAGCTATACTACTAGTAGTTTTTATATTTAACAACATTGCTTAACATGTTCAATATTTTTATCATTTTCAGTATTTTTATTTATTATCTTTAACTCGTTTTATTAATTTTTTTTATTTATTTTCCCGGTTTATCTTTGGATTACGGCATCGACTTGTTTATGTGGAGACAGAGGAATCTTTATATATTCTGTCATGCTAGGCTATTCTATGAAGCTGTATGAACTTAAGCATTGCAAACACAAATAACATTGTAGCGACTGCTATTTGAATGCATTTAATAACCATCTTGAAAACAATTCATTTAATAGCTGGAGTATAATTTTAAAAAAAACAAGCATGGAACATATTTTCAATCATACCAGCTTGTAATACACACATAAATACCCACATTTTTCTGGACATCTTAAATGGGATTTGATCAATAAATAATAAAATTACCTTTTACGCTGTGTTTTCCTCTGGGGAGTTCTGTTATGAAGTTGGCCTGTGTTAACTCATGCCTGAATGGGTTATGGGTCAGGTTAGTTATTTAAATAACAATTTATGTCAAACAAATTTGCTAGTATAAAAATTTTTTAGTTATCTCAGCAACTCCTTCATCTTCAATTTTCATGAACTGCCCTCAATATAGTTCTGCCATGACATTATCGACATAGCAACCATCTTATAAACAACCAGCCTCATCTACCTATACGATCACACCACCCACCATCCCCTCCCAAACCTACTACTGACATGTTTCCAAGGGCAACTTCACTGAGCAGCATGAGACCCGTCGGATCTTTCCTGGATGTGAAGCAGTAGTTGGCACTTTTTGAAGCCATGTCCGCGAAGTAAATACCCTTGCCAAACATGTAACCTGTCTGCAAGTTGGTTGGTTGGATGGATGGATGGATAGGTGGATGGATGGATGGATGACAATGGTCAAGGAGTTGGTGTCACGCCATATTGTTGTTGAATTTGGGATAATTATGATGTCATTTTGGAATGTGTTGGATGCATGCACTTCATATGAGGGAAAATAAATGGAGAAAAAAACGAATAAAGTTGTTATTTGTGAAGACATACGTGGCAAAAAATGAAAACTCAAGTTAAGTGCTCAACAATCCGTGTAATATTAATACGGAACCAGAATATAAGCACGCACGCACAACACACCACAACACACCAGCGACGCACACCATCCCACCAACACACATCAGATCAACTCACAGAAGGAGCTTCTTTAGGAGCAATCCTGAGACCTTTCGACAGGATGCCTGCATAATTTGTCAGCCTGGATCCGTGCCACAACAGCATGCGGTTGTGTAGCGACTTGAACGATTCGTACACTTTCGATTCGCCAAGTCGACTTATTGTGAACACCTGTTCATATGAATGGGCTAACAATCAGTCATCAAAGTGAACAATCTTTTAAATGCCTCAATCGACGAAATGTCGTTGATCGCAGAAAAAGTAGAAGAAAGGCAGATCAAGAATTGAAAGTGACAATATAATAAATAAATAAAGCTTGTAAAGGACCTCGGAGACTTGTAGATCATATTCGTCATGTGTAGCTGCATGAGTATTCTTTACAAACTGACATATCCTTTGGAATTCCTCTGATGATTTGTCGAGTACCTAGCAACAGCGACGAGACACGTGCGACGATGTCAACGTAATGTGATCAGTCATTAATGTTTGTAACATTGAAATGATAAGTTCCCAACTACGGCGCTATATCAATCAGCGATAATGTAAACAAAAATTAGCTAAATCTTCAATTTTAAGATTTGTTAATTCAACAATGGAACTCAAACTGCATGCAAACCCAAAACAATATTTTACAAAAACATTATCAGCTGAGTGAAAAATGCAGCACATCCGTATCTCACAGTATGTCGAAATCAAGAAAGCAACAATGAACACAACAGCAACAACAACAACTCTAACAGCTATGTCCGTCTTCAGCTTATTGTAATTGTCATCGACGTCGCCGGTAACGCCTGCCTTGGAGCCACTGATGAGAAGATTGTACGCAACTTCAATCTCTAGCAAGTTGTCCAACATGGCTACCTTCGTCTGTTTCAGGTTCAAATCGGAAAAAATTAATTAAAAACAGGATAGAAGTTGAACGTGCTCGTCAAATTAATTTCATCTACCTCAGAAAGGTGGGAAATATATTGAAATATGTTATCTGGTAACCACAACCACCATCACCATCTCCATCTTTACCATTATCATCAGCATCTCCTTCTTTACCATCACTATAGCCACCACCAACAACAAAAACAACACCAATACCATCGACAACAACAGCAGCAACAATAGTAATCAGCAACAACAGCAACCAACAACCTTGATGATATCTTCATTGTCTAGCAAGGGGGGTTTTGCCAGACCGAAGTCATGTGGGATGAGTGTGTAGAATCTATTGGAGGCATCCAAGATGTACGATTGCGAACCACCGGTGCTTATCAGCTGGTAGTTTGCACGTGGTTAGTTGTGTTATTTTTTTTGCATGTTCTATAAATACAGCTCTGGCGTACGCAGAACTGCTTACATGTTATTCTATACTCGTATTTAAACTTTCGTGCCACGAAGGCTGTAACATTCACACCACATCACACCACACCACATACACCACACCACACCACACACGTAAGCACCACATTATACACCAATGACGCATCATTAATTGGTGACCAGACGTTGTTTCATCTAAAACAATATTTTTAAAAATATCAAACAAACTGCCCAGAAGTAAAATTAAAAAATTAAAATGACCAACTTGCTGAGCATCGGTGAGAACGGAGTAGGCACTTTCTATCTGCTTCATTGATAACTTTCCCAGGGGCATCTTCCTTAGATCGATCTATTTTTAAAAGTAAAATTAAATTTGAAAAAAAATTATGAATTCGATATTTTTGAAAAATCATTATAGAAGTTTTTGAATGAAATAAAATTGAGGGAAACATCAATTTAATAATGATTCAGATTAATGATTTTTGATTTGGTGTGTTCTAAAGTCATTAAAAAAGTTATAATGCAATTAAAATTTTGGCAAAACAAATTTGCAATTACATAAATTTTCCATCTTTTGACAACATCCATTCATCCAATTCTTCAACCAACCAACCGGCAAACCAACCAACCAAAGAACCAATCATTAACGACCAACCAATTAACCAACCAACCACAACCAATCAACCAATCAATCAATGAAAAAACAAACCTCAAACTCGAGCATGGTCTTCTTCATGTTCTCGACATCAAAGATGAGGCGCACCAAATCTTGTACCTCAGGTGCAAGTTTTGATGAAGTGGATGCACTCATCAGTTGGGTTATCTAAATGAGCACATTCATTTTAACAGAAATAGATAGATAGATAGAGAGAGAGAGAGAGAGAGAGAGAGAGAGAGAGAGAGAGAGAGAGAGAGAGAGAGAGAGAGAGAGAGAAAAGAGAAACAGCAACCAACCATCTGACAGGCCAAACGACAAACCTTATCATTCCCCTCATCATTTGCTTCATTGCCATAATCTATATCCAGTGGGAAGTACTTGTATGGCATCTTTTTAAACGAACTTTTCTTGGACCATACATTTCCTGTTTTCTCACGATAGAACTTTTCAAAAGCCTCAATGGCTTCCTCCACGTCATAAAATTTTTCCAACTTTGTCCCACCAATGGCGGTGCCCACTCTTCCCCACGATCTGAACAGCCACCAACTTGTCAGAAATTATTATACAAAATTTTGATGAATAATAAATATTTCCATCCATCCATCTATCCATCCATCCACCCATCCATCAAAGCGTTATTTGGTTACCAAGTCAGCAGGTCATGTGACAATCAGCCAAAACAGCATCAAGAAAAATTAAAAAAGAACACCAGGTTAAAAACAACAGATGAGTAAAAATAACAGTGCGTGTAAAAATAACAAACAAATTCAAGAACAAAAAGTACTCAAGAAACAAACAAACAAACAAACGAGCAAACAAACAAGCAAACATGTACAGAGCAAGTAGTGAACTGCAATCTTAAGAACGCACTCGTATCCACTATCTGCTTCTAGCAATTGAAGTTTGTAGAAGGAGTTGGTTCCCTTGGCCACGTCAACCAGTCCCAACACTGAGGTGTACAGATCCTTCTTCGACTCACCTTGCAGTACGTGGGCCTGGTATTCAAGCCCTGAAAATTTCAATTTGCAATCAATAAAATGATCTTTCTTATCTTTTGTCAATTGAAAAATATTTCATTTTATTGTATCTATCATTTATTCATAGAGGCACTAGATTTAAATTTAAATATAAATTATCTAAATATAGAAAAAAAAGAATTAAAAAAGAAACAGAACAGAAAAGAATGATTGACAGAGAGAGAAAGAGAGAGAGAGAGAGAGAGGGAGAGAGAGAGAGAAAGGAATTAAAAAAAATAATGATAGAATAAAGAAGCACAAACAAGAAAGCAAGCGAATGTTAGAAGGCAAGTTTTCTAGGAAAGTAACCTGACAGAGGATCAACAGCTGCTCCTCCCTTCACCACCATCTTCGCCATCATCGGGATCTCCTCTCTTAAAGATACTGTTGTAATAATAATAATAATAAATAATAATAATGGTAATAATAATAATAATGGTAATAATAACAATGAAAATAATGTGTTTCACTGAATTAAAATTATTTATTTAAATATTATTTTTCGACACATCTTTCTGAATCTTCTTCATCAACCACCACGATGAAAAAGTTAGAGGGTGGCTAATGAAGGATAATAAACTAACAAACTGGAATGTTAGAACACGGATGGTTAAACAAAAAAATAGATAAATAGATGCATGAAAATTGAAGAATTTGCACGAGTGTAGAGATATTTATGTGGATGATTGCACGAATGAACAAACAAATGACCCAACAAATTATGAACCTTCCTTTTTGAGGAAAACAGTAGAAGGTCGGACATTTGGTTTCGCTTCAATTATTTTAACTTGCTGTTTAAATAATATTTAAATAATAACTATTTATTACAAGAAAAATATCCTTAAATATGACTCAACCACACAAACTTCCAACCAGCTTAGCACAGGTATCAATAAGCATCATGGCACATAGATAAACCTTAAACCATTCTCACTCTCGAAAACTACAAACTTAGCACACCTTCAAATCAACACACCTACACATACAAACACATACACATGCAAAAACACACAGAGGCAAAATACAGTAGAAAGAAATAAATATATCACATCACAGGGCCAGTTTGAGATGGTGTGTTTCTTGAAAATTGTTTGAAAGTCCTCATCTACGTTGCTTTCCAGGTCAGTTAAGAAGTGGATGTCCACGACTGGCACTCGTTGGACCTGCCAGATTGTCTGATGTCTGTTCGTCTTGCTTATGTTCTCTGTTGAATTCATTTCATGATTGTTAGCATTGATGAAGCATTCATTTTGAACAAATGTTTCTAAGACATTTTTATATCTATATGTAATGAAACTTTGATGAAGGTTTCTCAAAAAACTGATTTTATCCTCCTATGTTGTTTCATTTTAATTGTTTAATGTTCTAATTTCAATTTTGCAATTTTAGTTTCACATTCCTTTTCATTTTTGAATTTGTTGTCTGGCTTTACAAGCAAATTTGTGTCGCGCCATTATGGCTGAAAAAAAAAACTCAAATGGGTGGACGATATTAAAAACATGATTGGCAAACTAAGGAGACAGTCTGGAGATTTGATGATGTTTTTCATAAAAATGACAACATTAAATAGCATTCATGTCTAATGATCGTTTTTGTTGATGACAACTACACTAGACAAATGACTAACCAATGTTGCTGATGGCAAAGTGGACGTTTCTGTAAACTGGTTCAAAAAACTTTCCTCCCATCTTCTCAACCAGCTGCTTGATTTCTTCCTTCTTCAGAGCCAACTTACCACCTGATGATACTCGCAGACCATCCAGCGGTTTGAATGCAAGTTGCGATGACGTTGACGCAGATGGCTGAGATGCTGATGACGATGCAGCAGCTGGTTCGACACCGACTTCCTTCTTGATGATCTGACTGTCTGTTGTAGACGACTGAGATGCTTGAAGATTTTCGATGGATATGTTGGATGACTTTGGGAAATATTTCTTTCTTGCTTCAAACTTGTACTCTGCCCTGGTCCACAAATATTTCAATGCAAGGCTCAACATTACATTGAAAAATCAAGACTAGATAACAAACAATCCAACTCATCCAGCACCATATAATCCAATAGAGAGTAACAACAAACACAGTATGATACCATACCACTCAACACAACTCAAGTCATGAAACTAAATAGTGCAATTGACTGACTCACAGGAAAGGGTTGTTTTCTAGGTACTTTTTAGGAATAAGGAACTCCTTTCTTTCGGGGTCGTCAGTAATGTACTGACACTTGGTCCACTCTGAAATATCCCCTGTGCACCGGTAGCCACTTACGGCACCACTAAATAAATTTGACATGTGATCATGTGAAAAAAAACTGAAAAAACATTGTTGTCAGCAATACATGACCCAAATAGCAGGTTGAAAAAGTACAATACAAGGAGCATGAAGTTTAAAAATAATGCTGAAAACCTTAACAAAGTGTATAAAAAACTTTTACGTTTAATAATTGTTAATAGAGCAGATTAACTGTTGATAGTGATTGAAAGCAAAAATAAGTTGATACATTGCATTTATTTCTCGAATTATCAAACACAACCCTACATTTGCTCTACTCAGGTGCAGCCACAAAACACCATCATTTATTAATGATCATCGTGAGTTAAAACCTCAAACGAAGTTGTCCTTGACATTCAGGGCATGGGGCAAGTGTTCCAAACACCATGGCGTCTGCTATGCAATCTAAGATCTGGTGGTAGAGATGGATGGATAAATGTGATTAATTAAGTTCCACAGTACCATGTCAACACATCAACAACTAGTACAAATATTCAGAACGCGAATAAAACCATAATTAGAACACATCAAGTCGTAAACAATGACAAGTAGCAAGCATCTAAACACATCATGAAACAAAATAGAAAAACATTTCAATCTATGACAGAAGCAGAAAAAACAAAAACAGCAACACACATAGTCAGACCCAACAACAGCCCAACAACGCATCATTAAACAACACAGCAGAGCAACGACACGCACCTCATCAACTTACCTTGGATGCTCCAGATGGAATTTTTATTTTGTTGAATTTGAGAAGAGCCTTAACATCACTGCTTGGCACACATTCCTGCAATTTGTCTCTCATCTGCCACTCCAGAGAACTTTGTTCCTACAACAACAAAAATAAAATTGAAGCAATCAACATGACAAATATGGTAACAAATAATGACGGTAACAAGTGAATTAATACTCTCAGATGTTTTAAATTACCTAATTTACGTATGAAATTTCATTGGTAGTTAGTTCAACATAGCAGCAGCACTAGAAACTACAATGAACAAGAGAATATCATCATCTCAACAACAACCAACATCTTCATAAAAAACACCAACATCTTTTCAACAACAAAAACCAACATCTACAACAACGAACCCTCATCAACTCTTCATCGTCGTCGTCATCATCATCATCTTCCTTCTTATGTTTCACACCTGGTTGTCCTGCATCACCTTTCTCTCCATCCAGCTTTCTTTTTTGTCTGAGCATTTAATGTAAATTATTTTGCTGACATTAAACTGGTGCATTCAGAGTGAGGCTGTTCAATTAAGTATTCATTATCACAGATACCATCATCATCACCAATACCATCATCATTATCAGTACTACCATTATCATCACCACTATCATCATCATCTCGACATCTTAATCGGTATAATATATAGTCATATATGGATCATATATTTATACATAGGGCTGGTAATATATTAGTCATGAAAATTTTTTAAAATTTTATCGAGTAAACTTTAAAAATATTAAAAAAGGTTTCTTCTTAGGTAAGATAATTTAATAAATAATCATAATAAATAAATAAATAATAATAAATTGCAAAAACGTAATAGGGCATGGATGTCTTCAACATACGTTTTTGGCTTGCCAAGAGTTTCAAGCACCAGCTTTTGATCATCAGCTGAGAGACTTTTAAATCCGGACAGCCTAGTAGTGGCGGTGGAAGTTGTAGTTAGAAGGTTACTCATTCATTCATTCATTCATTCATTCATAAGACGAGAATGATTTTTAGTTATTAATATTTGCATTCTAAATGAAAGCTAGCAGCAAACTATTTGCTTATTGTTAATCAATGAACAAATAAAATCATTCGCAACATTGTTTGCCATCTCGTAAATTAAACCAACATTCGCCCACCTACTACTTGAATACGACCAGGAAGGCAGTTAGATGAATCATTCATAACTCTGTTAATCAACAATGACCATTCAATCCACTTACATCTTTGGATCCATGCTTTCTGGGAATTGCAGTTGCAGTCGATGTTCATTGAAACATTTGAGGTGGTGCCATTCATCTTGAGGCCCATACATCAGGGCTTTTTCGCTCGTGTAGTCTTTCTTGCTTACTCTCAGCTCATCCTATACGATTAATTCAAATGATTCTATATTATATATAATTACTGTGAGTATTATTTATAATCTTTAATGAAACCAATATAAAAATAATTAATTGTTACAAATTCAGAAAATATAAGTCAAAACTGGCAAACTGCTAGTCATCAAACCTTGTCAATGTAACAATGGCAAGACCTACAAGTGCTTCTGCTAGACTTGGCATACTCCACTTTGTAATCTCCATAAAAGATGTCCTCAGCCTTCCCTCCTGACGATGATGAACCTTTTGCCGATTTCTTCCCACCTTTGACAGCTGCATTTAATGCATCTTTGATGTCTCTTATTTATCATTTGTTATATAATTGTCCAAATGAAAACCCATAACTCAATGAGCATTTTTATTGTAAAACATAAAAAACAAGGGAAAAACTTATATTAATACTACTATATTTTAAAAGTTAGTCTCACATCACAACTGCAATGAATAATGTATATATTTAAATGATTTATTAAAATCAATCAAACAAAAATTATAAATAGAAGAAACTTCTGAGAACCTTCTATAGATTTTTTAATCTTCTCCTGGTCATCCCAGCGAATTTTTTTGAAACCATGTATGTCGTCTGTCTTCAGGCAGCGAACCCTGTTCCAGAAACATTCATAATGGTGCCAATTTGGCATCTGAAAACACAGAAGCAATCTGATACAATGTTCTAAATTCTAAAACATTGATCTAATTAATGATTATATATTTTTATTATATATTTATAATTCAAATGATTTTAGTTAACAGTACAAAAGGATTAAGAGTGAACACAGTACAGTGATTAGTTTTGAAAAAAGAAAGAAAATAAGATAAGTTGAAATTATTAAAATTAAACAAAAACCAACTTTTCCATCAAAATGTGGTGACTGCAGAGGAAAAAAACACAAAATGATTACTTTAAACATTTATCGTCGTCATTTACATAAAATATGTATATAAATAAATATGTAAAAACATTACTGTTGATGAATAAATTGTGACTTGATCAAATTGAAAAATTTGTGACAAAAATTATTTTAAAAATAATTAAAAAAAACATCTTGGCAATATGAACAAAGATATTATGCAAATGAGACAGCTAATGATATAAACGATGAAATTGATGAAATGTATCGTTATAATTCATGATAAGACTAATAAAGAAAACCTGTAGCATGATGGCCAGTCTCAAAGAGCCACAATCAATAAGGTGCCTACAAAGTTTACAAATCGATCTGCCACTTTTGGCATACTCAACCTGATATGGCAGGTCTTTACAAGCAGCCATTTATTTCCACTTTTAAAAAGAAGCCTGTCAAATTTTTCAAGTCAACATTATATTTCTAAGAAGCCTGTCAATATTAAATTTAAAAAAAAAACATTGAAAATATCATGTTTGCTATGCATCAAATTGACATTACAAAATGTATGTATGACTTTCGTATGTAATAGTATTCAAATTTACAAAAGAAGATAATTAAGAGTGTTCAATAACCAGAAGAAAATAATATTAATCTCCAATTCCCTTCTCTGAGTGTGGTAAGGGTAAGCCTGGTTGTTCCATTATTGAATAACACACACATACACACACACACGCACACACACACGCATACAATCACACACACCAAACATAGACATCATGGAATAAAAGCTAATGCTAATAGCACTATCACTATATTTCCACAGTGTAATTAATGACCCTATCTTACTCAGCTAATTAGGCTTATGATTATGAAGGAACATATTTTTTTAGGTTTATTATTGGACTTGCCATTAACAAATAAGGACACACATAGCACAGCATCAAGCAATATCTTATTATTATGGATTCAATGAATGATTGAACTTCAATCTTTCTATATGACTATATATATATATGACGTATATGTCATCATTTATCTGTTATTAGTTAAGCAATGCAATATTCACAGCATGAATTTGTATTTTATTTTTTATTAGCCATTGATTTGCCATTTGCTGGCCAGGCCTCTTCCTAACAATTTCAACTCAAATCAAATATAAATATTTGATCAATTATATGTATAAATATATATAATGTAAATAAATTTAAAATATATAAATATTTAAATAGTCAAATTGATGTAAATTGTGCATTATGTTAATTTTGTCATGAATTATAAATTTACTTAAAAATTGTGTTAGAATGAACAATTTGTGAACGGTGGCCCGCGACACAAGAATTTTGTTTTCTTTTAGCTTTGGTCTCCTAATCATTACCTAATTATTATTAATTCGGATTGATTGAATAAATATTGACTAAAAAAATAATATAATAATTAATAATACGATTACTAATTATAGGAATTAGTTGGGTTAAACAATTTTTAACTAAAATTGACTTACTTCGATGCTGATTGACACTTGCTGAAAATGAACTTTGAAATTATGTCGGCCAGATAAGGATCGACCGTCCGAATTGCACACAAATAAATAAATTGGAATTTTGCGGGATTTTAAACTGACATCGGTTTCTCTAACCAACAGTTATGTATTGAAGTTTAAAATGTTTGCAAAAAAAAAAACTGAGGTTAGACCATATACTTAGGATACCAAACTAATCAGACCAACACGACACGAGCTTTTAATAGTTTTTTTTTAAAAAAGTTATCGAGCAAGTTAAAATCAATAAATATTGTGCGCGTTCGTAAGTTTTATAGCTTTAAATCATCTAATTTTATTATAGGAATTGAACTCAAGCACCTGAAACCTAGTTGATTAGTCAATGGAAGGAACTTAGTAATGGATGAGTGCGCTTATGCGTTACAACTTAGATTCGTTGAAATCTATGAATCTGACTAAATTTTTGAACAATTAGCAAAAGAGACATTAAAGGCTTTGATGTGCGGATGTATAGTGAATACAAAACAAATTTGAAATTTTTTTTATAAAAGTATCATTAAGAGATCTATCGTTTTTTCTCTCCTTTTTGCGTTCTTTTCTTTTCGTTTTCCTTCCTGTCAGTGGCCTTCTGCTTTTGTTTTTCTCTGTCCTCTTTGTCCTTTTGTTTTTTCATCTCAGAATCGAGTTTTGCCTGGTCTCTGGCCTGTCTCTCTCGTTCTTTAACCAGAACACTGTTGACGTTTCTAGTTAACACTGGATGAATTTGGAATTTGGATCAAGATGTATAACAATTAAATAATCAACATACTTTCTAGAAAATGACTAAAAACCAACTATAATACAAATAAAAAATTATTACAATCATCTTGATTATGAGCAGTGGTAGAGGCAGTGGATGAAGTGTGTTTGTTGGGAGACTGCTTCGAGGCCAGTGCATTATTGCCAGTTTCCGTTGAATCTTCATCGGATCTGAAACATATTTATGATTATATTTCTTATATTATCTTGGATTTCTTAAATTATCTATTTAACTTTCACATCAATATCACATAAAAAGCATTGAACATTTTGACATATGAATAAATTTCACATTTGAATCAGTTTTCTTGGCATAAATTGTTCTAATAATAATTAATAAAAAAAACTTAAAAAATGAAAAAGAACATTAAATAAAAATTTTAAAAATTAAAAAAACTTGAAAAATTTTTTAAAATGCGCAAATTCTTAAGGCCTAGATAAATGCTTTTTCTACCATCACATCAACTATGTATCTTGACATGAATTAGGTTTAAATGCATCCTAAAAAACCAACACCAGGCATAAATGACAAATGATTAAATTATAAACAATGATATAGTCAAAAAATTACTCTTCTCCATCTGAAATATGTGAGTACTGAGCTATGATAACATCTTTAAGGACATCTTTTTCTGCCTTCTGGGAAGCCCTCAACTTTACAGCGTCACTTGTCTGTTGTACAATAATTTCATGCATGCGAGTGTTTAAATCAACACCTGTGTTTAATTGAAAGCAAATCAGTTCACTCAACAAAAATCGTTAACATTTTATTTTTGCATTAAGTTTTAAAATTTAAAGTGTCAGCTAGATGTTTATCTGATGCTGGTCATTTGGAGATACAACAAACAAAAACAACTACAATGTCGTTTACATAATTGATCAGAAACAGAATCAACAAAAGCATTTATTACTGTACTATTGTGATTCTCAATATTCTGCTATTCTTAGTAATTAAGACTTAGTTTAATATTTTTTGAGCAATAATGCTATAATAAATAAAAATAATTAGCATTTTATAATTTCATGATTAGTTAGCAAATTTCAAATTCACGGTTAGTGCTTTACCAATTTATAAATTCTAGCTATAAATAAATAAAATTTATAATGTAATACATACAAGACAAGATGCATTACAAAACAAAAAGTTGCAACAAAAAACAAAACTAAACAATTTTTAGGAGCATGGCAATCGTTTGAAGTGGCATCATCGTTGATGTCGGACCACTTGGTTATTATGTCCTTGCAAATTTTATGAGTATCATTCTCATTCTAAAGAAATTAATTAAATAAATGTAATAATCATGCTTTATTGAAAAAAAAACCTTAAACAATCTAATTTTTACAGATTACATGTTGTATCTTACAAATAATTAACTGTTGAACATTTTTTAGAGTTAAGTGCCTAGCTTAGGTGTGCTCTTAAAATTAGCTTTAGTTTAGTTAGACTTTTAGAGGGAGGCTCTTTAGCTTTACCAGGGCATGGTTAGATAAATAAAGGTGTCTTGGTGTGCTCTTAAAATAATTAAAAGTTTTTTACTAGTAGGGCTTCCTTAGGCACTGCTTGTCAAAGTTTGTTTAACTGTGTATGTTGTATGTAATCTATTGTAGATGCAATTGCTTAGGCCAGGACTTGGGAAAAGCTAGCAAACTTAAAAAAAGCATGCACTCACGTGGTCGACTAGCAGTTCGGACAGCAATTCAGATAGTGAATTAATTTTTTCGTCTTCAACAGTTTCTGTCTCAAGAATGCCGGTTATGTAGGAAACAAAAATGTCAAGGTCAGTATCAGGATTGAAGCTCAACAACTTTTCAGATAACCAGGCATCGAAGCGGTTATTCAACGGTGCCGTAGCCATGTTTGTTTGGGTCTCTTGTTTATTTATGTTTGCTATTCGTCTGCTTACTTACTACAACTTCACTATAGTCATGTCATTTATATATGCAGAAACCAAATGCATAGAATATAAAATATATTACATATCAGCTTATTTAAAAACTTTTTTCTTCTGTTATCATCATGGATAACAAATATATATATATATATATATATATATATATATATATATATATATATATATCCATGGTTATCATCATATCATGTACATCATTGAATTACATGTTATATAATTATATTATGTTATACTTATATAATTCCATGATGTACATCGAGTATCTATACAGGCCCTCAAACGCACCCGCGCTCATTTTTAATGCACTTTAGGATCTAGATTTATTCTTTAGTTTCCATAAAAAATTGTTCATTAAATTTATCTAATTTAACTATTTTTACGTTTTCAATAAATATATATATTTTTTAAATTTTATTCATTTTGATTTATTGTTTAATTGATTTATTTCATTCATTTGCATAATATTTTAACATATTTAGTACCTTCTTTTGTTGTATCGTATAGCCACACTGATTCGAGATCGGCGGCCTTACCAGGACCACGCAGGACTATCTTATACTTGTAATAGCTGTTTCACAGGGAAGATTGGTTTTTGAATAAATTTTTATTGGCCGTAATAAATTTAGCTGAACAAAGATGCAAATATTAGAAACCTCAAACCTGTGTGTTTTTCCCCTAGTTCTACCTACTGTATGCATGCGAAACTGGAACAATAAAAATAGAGATTGGATGTATTTGAAATGAGGGTGCAACAGAAAACTGTTGCAAATCAGTTGCTGGCAATCATTAAAAAACAGTTAAGAAGCGAAAATGTACATAAGAATAGAGCAAAGCATAGAAATCAGGTCACTTTAAAACACATATTTGTAGATTTTTCATTTCAACTGCATTAATGAATAAGAAAAACTGAACGAGAAAAGTTGAAAAACTTGCTAAACATAAATGGATGACATTACTGGACTGGGATGAACGTTCGAAAAACAGAAGTGAAGCCTATATTGCAGAACATTGGAATAAAAATTTAAGAGCAGAATACAAAATAAATAATTGTGCAAATTCGTAAAACAAAATGAAGATAACAGGCATAAAATTCTTGCAGACGTTGTTTTCAACCTTCAACCCCACGGTATTTTCTTTTAAACATGGCTATGTGGTCTGATATACTAAAGATTAATGAATACTAAAATGCAACAAAAGAATCGTTGGAATGTTCAAGTTAGTCGGGTTTGAAAATTTTAATAAACAGTGCTTCTGTTTGTGTATACATTGCATATTTAGTATGTACGCACTCTCAATGAAGAATACATAAGTTTATATATGCATCATGATTAATGATGTCCGGCAAATATTTAGTAAAACGTCCATTTATTTTTAGCAAGTAAAACAATTTTATTAAGGTTGGTGTTGTCAGATAACTGTCAATATGAATTGAAAAAGAAAAAATAATGATTGAAAATTCAAGTTAGAGTGGCAATGACAAGGCAACAAAGCATTTTATGGTTGTAAAAATTACAATTTGAACAACATGTTTCTTGTTGCTATGCAATTGTTATGAAAGTCATCAATCATCGAGAACTGGGTTTGTGACGTAGGCAGGGAACTCAAGCTCGGTGTATGTTAACCAACTAAATTATATAAATCGGCCTGAATAAACAGATATATTATATATAAATGCATACAATTTATATATATATATATATATATATTTATATATATATTTATATATATATTATATGAGTTTTTATGAATGCGAGTGCGTGCTTTGCATGCAAACGCAAATTATACACAAACAGAAGCACACGCATTCTCAATGAAGAATACATAAGTTTATATATGCATCAATGACTAAGGATGCCCGTCAAATATTTAGTAAAACAAATTTTATTAACATTTTTTTATCTAGCTAAATATATTTCATTAGAAAAATACATTAGCACAAAAATATACAATACATTGCATACAATACATTCTCAATAATTCTACTTCTAACTCCTCTACTCTTACTCTTACTCCTCTACTCAGGGTTCTATCCTTGGCCCTCTTCTATTTATACTCTATACTTCTGAACTACCTCGTATTATTAATAACTTTTCTTTCTCTAGTCAACTATATGCTGATGATTCTTACATTTATACTTCTTTTCCTCCATCTAATCTCAATAGTGTTCTTCATAATTTATCTCTATGTCTTTCTTCAATTATCGCTTGGTCTGACTCTACGTGTCTTAAACTTAATCCTTCTAAGTTTGAATTAATTTGTTTTAATAAATCTAAACACTCTATTACTATTCCTCCTATTATCTTACCTGATTCTAAAACTCTTGATGTCTCTCATAAGTTTCGTAGTCTAGGTTTTATCTTTGATTCTACTATGTCTCTCCTCAGATTAATAGCGTAGCTAGAAGCTCTTACTCTCATCTACGTAGAATAAAAAAACTTTTGCCTTTTCTTGATGATCCTACTCTTCTCCTTCTTGTTACTTCGTTAGTCTTATCTAGGATTGATTATTGTAACTCGCTCTACTATGGTCTTCCTGACTCTATACTCTATCCTTTAAGTAAAGCTTTTAACTCTGCTGCTCGTCTAGTTGCTCGTGCCCATTTCTTTTTCTTTTCTCATATATCTCCATATCTTGTTCTCTTGCACTGGCTACCTATAAAATATAGAATAATTTTTAAAATTTGCACGTTCATGTATAAGTCTCAATCTAAATTATTTTCTAAGTATTTATCAGATATATTAATTGAACCTAAACGCCCCGGTTTACGATCATCTCTTCTTCTCGCTTTTTCTTAACTCGTGTTAAACACTCTTTTGCCAAATCTGCTTTTGCTTTTTCTGGTCCTTTTCTCTGGAACTCTCTACCTACTTCTCTGACTACTTCTCCATCACTTGCGAAGTTCAGAGCGGATCTCAAAACCCATCTGTTTTCAAAATTCATTGAACATCGCGGAAATAGTGCTTTATAAGCTAATTGATTGATTGATTGATTGATCATACAATATATATGTATATTAATATGCAACATATATATATATATATATATATATAATATATATATATATATATATATATATAATGCATATACAAAATATGCAGTGTATGTATGTAACTCAGAAACCAACACATGAATAAATAAATATATATATATATATATATATATATAAGTATATATATATATGTATATATATATAAACGATGAGCAATGCATACATGATAAATTGTATGTGATTAGTGATCACATATGTATTGCACTGGCATGGAATCATAAACTGTACGTGTTATGTGCGTTAACATGCCTTATAAGCATAGGCAAATATGCAAAAATGTTTGATATATATATATAAATAAATTAATTTATATGTATGTATATATATATATATATATATATATATATATATAATATGTACAAGAAAGCCTGATTGGTGAAGATTTTGGAAATCGAGTTTCACGAGTTTCTGTGCTTGTTGTTAGTGAATGTATGCATTTTATTAACTTGTTATAACTTATGTTATAATTTTGTTTTCAAAAACGTTAATCGTTGATTTTAATTGAATTTAATTTTCAAAACTTGTTTATGTCGATAATATTTAAAATATAATTTAATTAAAATAATCGTTTATTTCAAAAGGTTCATATTATATTTTAATTAAATTTATATCTGGTACTTGTACATCACAACAACACACGATCGCAGTGAGTGCCATTGATTTTTTTTTGACTCTTTGAATTTTTATTTTTTGACGTTTATCACATGTGCGTTTTTAATTAACTCGCAAATTAGAGCTATCTATAATGATGATGATAATAACAAAAAATAACAATAAATATTATAACTCCCAATAACAATGGTAATAACAATTGAATAAATTAAACGAAGTGATAATTAAAGATCATATGTAGAAAATTAATCAGATTTTAAAATAAGTTGCTGAATTTTGAATAAGAGTTGCATCATAAATTACGATATAATAATGGTTAATTTAAGAATACACTTTTTTTATTTTATAATATAAAAATACCTAGTGGTTATTTAATATTACTGTTGTTATTTTCTGAGCCCCACAACAACAGAAGCAACCATCAAACGTCTAAAACTCTAAGACTCTAAATGGCATACAAATAAAATATGATTTACGACTATGATTAAATAGAATTATTCGAAAAAAATACACTTTTTATACATTTTCTTAGCTTGTCATTGAAATTATTTGGTTTATTTGTTAGCCATAAAAAGGAGTTTCTTACATTTTATGCAGTCAGAACTTGTTTTATTAATAAAATTCATAATCAGTTTATTAGTCAGAACTATATTTTATTAATTAAATTCATTTTCAATTCGTTACCGCTCGCATTTCATCGTTATTATATTGTCATTTCTTCAAATCTTTTGTCTCCGAATTAGTTATGTCGTATTAATGTTGTGTTTATGCTTAAGTAATTAGCTAGCGTAGGTAACATATTATTAGCTCAGCTAGCTTGTCTAATTACTGCATTGTACTTTATTAAAGATCAAGATGAAAATAAAAATCTTTTATTCTGAAGAATCTGAAAATCTGGCCTTAGTTGACTACATCCGAATTTTAAAACGGAATTTTCAAAATTTTGCTTTACCTAGGTTGACAAAAAAACTCTACTCAATTCCTATCGTTTAATTATTTTTCGCTTAGTCACTTTATAAAGGTTTTTTTGTTCGATTATAAAATAACAATTAAAATTATTGTTATTTATTAAGTTTTAATATACAGCTATGCCACACTTGGAGTTTCGCGCTAGCAAATCTAAATTTATACCGTCTGTACGACGTACATACAAATTTTGTCTGCACGGCAAGCACTGACTAAAATTAGTATGTGCAAACCTAAAATCTTATTGCAAACTTCTGTAGATCTTGTTTTAAAGTGAAAGTTTTCAATATTTTAAAATCTTCAGATTTCACCATTTAATTTCTGTACAATTTCTAAATCAACATTCCTTTGAAACTTGTTTACAATTAACGCATATACATAAATAATTATATTTTATGTGAAGGAGAAGCACAAGCAGCGGAATTTTCAAAATTTTGCTTTACCTAGGTTGACAAAAAAACTCTACTCAATTCCTATCGTTTAATTATTTTTCGCTTAGTCACTTTATAAAGGTTTTTTTGTTCGATTATAAAATAACAATTAAAATTATTGTTATTTATTAAGTTTTAATATACAGCTATGCCACACTTGGAGTTTCGCGCCAGCAAATCTAAATTTATACCGTCTGTACAACGTACATACAAATTTTGTCTGCACGGCAAGCATGGAACATAAGCGCACCCACCATATGGCGTGTGATAGAATTCGAACCATAACCAAGTAAGATCTAACGCCTACGTTTACTCGCCGACTTATTATTATTATTCTCCGTTGCAGCTTTGAAAAGATATTCAGATCGTCACAACAAAGTTCTCTCAATAGTTTTAAAAAATATTAAAAAATGCGCAGGTTTGGAAGTCTCGTTGTTTGCCGATCTGGAGTGTGAAGATTTTCGTCCAGTATCAACGCTGTTTAAATCTCTGCGTCCTGATATAGCACTGGTCCGCGACGACACGATCAAGATTTTAGAACTAACGATATGCCACGAAACAAATTTTAAAAAATCTAAAGAATACAAAATTGAAAAGTACTCTCAAGCCCTTCAACTTAATTTAAAGAGTGAATACAATAATTTTAAACTTTTAATTAAAACATTTGAAATTTCTACAATGGATTTTTACAATACTTTTAATTTAATTTAATTTATCGCTGGTCAACTTAATTTGGTCGAACGATTTTAGAAACAATTTAATAAACTCTGTGTTACCATCATCTTACTCAATATATTGCGATAGGAATAATGAATGAACCTTATTTTTATTGGCTATAATCCTCTATTTGTACTCATTTTGTCGAGTGATGAGCAAATTAGACTAACAGCTTATTAATTTAAATACTTTATTATATTAAACATTATTTTATATCTATCTTTTTATTCATTTTGTGATATTTGATAAAATAAAAGTGTTCCCATTATTATTATTATTATTATTATTATTATTATTATTATTATTATTATTATTATTATTATTATTATTATTATTATTATTGATATTGTTGTAACTGTTGTTGTTGCCCGACCAAGCACAACGTGTGGTTTTTAAGGCAAATATTTGTAGTTATTATTATCGTTGTTGTAATGGCGATCTTCTTTATCTTAATCGATTTTTGTTAATTAGTTTTGTATTATTATGATTATTATTTCTAGGTTCTATGTTGAGCGCTGTTGCACGATATAATGCGTGTCTTGAAGTGTACTGTACATCGTATGTTTGCTCAAAACACAATTTCAACTATTTTTAATTCGTTTCTATCGATTTTTTTTATTTAATTATGCTGTTTATAAAAGAATTTAAATAAATTAACGAATACGCCATGATAAATGCATGCATTATTCATTCATCAACGTATGCTGCTGTAGTTGTTGATTCGTTTAGCTCGTCTGTTTGACATTTTCCAAACACTTTAATACTCAGATGCTATGATAATCTTTAAACAAAGTTCTGTTTATTAACATCATCGGTGTGTCAAAAGTTATATGATCATATGATACAATATGTTTTGGTACAATCATTTTTTTAAATGTCTAGATTTTTTAATTCTTGATCCATAAGTATAAAATTTAATTTCGGGAATGAAATTTTTTATGCTTGCCAAGGGTGGAACAAACATTGGTCCAATTAAGCATCTGTATTACTGAAGTCCAAGCGCGCGTGTTTGTATAATAAACATTATGTTAATGTTCAGTTCATTCATCTGTTAAAAACATTACAGTTCATGTTTTATACATGAACATGTCTGGAAAATTTTATGCGATTATGATAATAATGAAGACTGTGATGACAATGATGTAAATGAAGATTATGACGTCATGACGGTGATGAATTTTATGATGACAGGGTGGTGGTGATGCAGATGCAGATGATATGATGATCATATGATGGCGATAATGATCATTTTTTTCTTGTTAAACACACAATTCAAAGTTTATTCTAATTTATAAATATTCTGCGCGTTAAAAATTAAGAACGTTCTTTCATTTTTTTCAGAATCAGTACACGTGTGACTGCAAAAATCAATTGCGTTGCGTTGCTATATCTGACAGTCCGCGTTAGCGTAGTAACGACTCTAACGTCATCATCATTATCGACTATGTTGTGTGTTTGTGTGGGTGTGCTTGCGTGTGTGTTTGTGTGGGTGTGCTTGCGTGTGTGTTTTTGTGGGTGTGCTTGCGTGTGTGTTTGTGTGGGTGTGCTCGCGTGTCTGTGATTTTAATGCAGAATTTATAGCGAGCGTTAGTTAACGGTATTGTATACACCCTCGTATGTTTAGATTGAACGCGGCGATGTGTAACATGACGTACAACAAACCTTGGCCACCAATCCAATACACCGTATTATACATACACACATACGAGTGTACACATACACTCAATGGTACGAAGGATAATTATATGCAGGTAACCTACGCAGCTTGTAGAGAAAGTGAGGTGTATGAGCTATAAATGTGTGAATTCTCTCACCGCTCTTCGCTAAATATGAGTGGTCTGCAATTAGCGAGGTCTCGTAAGTGCCGAGTGCATTGCCATCACTGGCTCGATGACAAAACTTTCCCGGTGACGTCAACACTGAAATATCATTTGTCATTACTGAATGTTGGCTAACGATTCGCTTGTTCTGCGATGAAGAATCACACCATTTTATCATTTTTCATCCAAAGCAAGCGCTGGTTAAGCGTCGATCAGCTAACAACTCATCATCGATTGCCTATTTCTAATGAGTTTTTGCTAATTAGCTTAACGAACCGGGACAAATTGTTAAATATACACGTATGTAAGGAACACCAGGCACACACACACGCACTTTCATCCATATGCATTATGTTAATTTGTTGTGTTTGTTTAAATAATCGTCATAATGAATTAATGACTTCACATCTGATCTGGCACTACGTCACACACACACACATTCACACGCACGCACAGACATATTATACTTATATTTATCTGTTTGCGTATAAATTAAATTAACTGTATAAACAAATAAATAAATGAATAAATAATTAGATACATGAGTTTTATTACAGCAACTTGGTTCTTCAACAGGTTCATTGGAGAGTTATTATATTAAGTTGAGCAAATAATAACATGTGGGAGATGTTTTAAATGCTGATATGAATAAATTAATACAGGTGCTAGATGTGATGATTAACATTTGATGTACTATATAGATGATATTGCACCAGGCAGACAGGACTCGTTGTACCTGCTTCTGCCAATCAATATTCTTGTTTGTTGACTGCAAGTAAAGACAAACTCGAATGCACCAAGGCAAGCACCAACACGCAAGCATCAATTCATGAATCAACATGTCAGAAATTTTATAGAAATTATTTTTACCTTTTCTATAACATTGTTTAGACGTTGCTGTATACAAATGAAATGTTTCATCTAATTCGTTCTACTAAAAAGCTAACACATTTCTAACATAAAAAGCAGCTTTTATCCTCTATATGTTTATACAATTTAATGTTTATGTTGCGAACGGTTGTAACGTACATGAATGAAGTTTGGCCTAGTTTGCTGCCCACTTTCCACAGCTTTTACCAACGAATAAAATCAATACAACTGTACATTTTATTCATTCTCACAACTGTAACTCATGCATTCACGCCAGCACGTCTTAAGTGATTGTTTTTCTTTAGCAATCATAGATAAAAAGAGTAAAATAAATACTGATAAATTAAAAATAAAATACGATAATTTTCACTTGTATATGTCTAATTTACAAACTTAGATTTGATGATCATTGCGTTTGTGTAAAACAAATGACATTGGTAAAAAAAATGTGAACATTTAATGTATTCCGAATTAATGCATCCATGTCTGCCTACTTTTGTTAGCTAACTGACTCACTTGGTGCTGGCTAGGTTTACGTTTGGAAAATACTCGTGTAATTATTTGCGACTGTTTGAGTGTGTATGAACTGTCATTGGACTCTCAAATGTATGAAGCGTGTGACGTTGCGCTTACAGACACCAAACGTCTGTTTATCATAATTGGGGCAAATAACATTAGTTCATTTAATGACGTTTTAATATTATAATTTAATTAATTTGTATTGCAATGCATATATCGATAATTGAACTGCAGATATAATATTTTATTTTCAGATTAAAATGAAGAAAGCGTAATTTTGAAAAAGTGAAATGATTTACTAATGAAACAAATTTCTCAACACATAAAAGGCATTCTGATTTGATGCAACCGATTGCGATTCTTCTAGAATTTTAAGTTTAATTTCATTTGAAGCGGAGTTAAATAGATGAAAGGAACGACCTTTTCTTCAAATTATTGGCGCAAATGGAGCTGCTCATTTTTTTCATGTGTCATCGGCTTCACATTCGGAGTTATAATGAACTACCAAGGCATCATTTTCGAAAACATCCGCGTCAGTCTGGACGTTAGTGTGTTCGATAATTTAAATTCAACAAATGCCGCCAGCATGATTCTCACAAGGTGGCCACATTTTGAGAAAAATCTATTGTCTCTAGTCAACATAAGTACGGGAAAAGCATACGTTGTACCGAATATCATACATTTCATTTGGTTTGCTAACAACGACAAAAAAGAGATGAAGTTTATAAATTATGTGAGCATATCAAGTGCTTACAAAATACACAAACCAGATGTAATAATGTTCCATTGTAATTTTCTGCCTTCAGGAAAATGGTGGGAAACTTTATGGAGATCAATTCCGTTGAAAATAGTTTACAGAAAGAAGCCGAGCACAATACACGGCCAGAATATTATACATACATTTCATAAAGGCGATGTAGCAAAAATTGAAATTTTAATGGAGTACGGTGGCATATATTTGGATTATGATGTACTGGTCGTGAATAGTCTAAATCCTCTCAGACGCTACGATGCTTGCCTTGGAAAGGAGAAACCTCCAAAATTGATAGCTGGAATCATCATTGCTCAAAAGAATTCCTTATTTCTAAAAATGCTTCACGAGTCATACAAAAACAATTACCGACCGTACGACTGGGACTACAACTGCGCTCGGGTGGCTTACCAAATTGCTCTTCAGCGGCCTGATCTTATACACGTCGAGTCAAGGAGGTTGACAACTCCCGATTGGCAGGACAGAAAACAACTGTGGCGCGAAATTATTGATTGGAGTGATCTCTACGTCATACACATAATGGGACATTTCGACTTTCAAGAACACACGCCCGAATCGATCAAGTCCCTGAACAGCACCTTCGGTGAGGTCATGAGGTACCTCTATTACGGAAGTCCCAAGTTGATATTGAAGTGACGATTCGCCTTCAATTTCGTTTAGTGATTTTCTCATACATTTTTTAAAATTAAGATGTTTTCTTCTATCGCTAGTTTTTACTGTGCGTGTTCTAAATGTAAATTAATGGGAGCAATGAAAAGTTGTCATTACAGATTTATTATGTTAATTTAATTTGTTTGCTCGTTTGATCATTTTCTGTTTCAGACACGTTTTGTTCATGAAATTGACTAAGAAGTGAGCTAAGCTCTTTTCTTGATCTTTTAAACTTTTTTATTTCATCAATTTTTTTAAATACTAATTAAATGCAAACTACAACAAATAAATTATACAATTAAATAAAACACACACACGCACACACACACATATATATATAAATATATATATATACATACATACGTGTACATACACATATAAATAAATATGCACTACATTATATTAGTATAATTTAACCAATTTTGAAATGTAAGAATCATACAAAATGAATCCATTATTACATATAAACCTCAATAGTGAAGTTTTTTTAACATTCCCACTAAACACGTTTCAGGCATGCTTCGTATATGAACACATTCATCTAATTGATTTTTGGAGGATATTATAGAAGGGAATACTATTAATAATAATGTTTGTCTATCTGTTTTAAAATAAATACTAAATAAATATTTTCATAGCAAAACCAAATGATGAGCTCCTGTTATTTCTATTTTTCTAAAAAAAATGTCGTGCATATGTATATAAAAATTTGTAAAGTTCATCCAAATGATTATTACATTTTTTAATAAAATGATTACGGATGGGCCAACGATTCGTGGCTTCTTTTTTGGTCATTATTTCTAGCTGACGATCTTTTTTGGCGAACAAGGCCTTGCGGGCCGCATAAAATAGCTTCGCGGGGCGTAGTTTGCCCATCCCCGTCTTAAATAATTACAAACACGTTAACTACCGTAGATATGTAAATTTACAAAGTAAAATAAGGAATTAATAATTTTATGATTGAATTGATAATAATAATTAGATCTTCTCTAAAAGCTTTTAAAAACGATTCGTGAAGAATGTTTAATATAGGACAATTATATTTAAACATTTCAACGAAACCTCAAAAACAGGTGTTTGAGCATCTGTAAGGTAAATAATTTCTGCTACGCTTTGGAAATGAACATGCAGATGCACACACACACACACACACACACACATATATATATATATATAACTGAATATGAAAAGAATTTGTACCACGACAGCAGGTACAAGTGAATTTTAAGGGATTTCTTCAATATACATTTACGACAAAAATAATTTTTACACATAAAAATTGATAAGTTTGTAGTTCTTTTTACAGAAATAATTGAAACAAGAAATGAAATGAAATAATTGTTTTTTAAAATATGATAAGCAAGTTGTAGGCATCTTAATGTCATTAAGCTGAATATCTGCCGTTATAATTTAGTTTAATCTCTGCTAATAACGACCAACTCGCAAAAATTATTTTACATAGGTTAATCATACTAAACAAACATTTCAACAAAAATTCCAAAAAATGTAAAATTTGAAATAAAGAATGAGACAAAAATCTTGAAAACACTGCAAAATATTGTGAAATAATTGTTGAGGGTTTAGTTAGTGCAATAAAAAATCTTGACCACACAACGCAGCAAAAAAGTGATGAAATATATTCTTTAAATAAACTAATAAAGTGCATTTAGTATACTACAGAGCAAACGAAGGAATCAGCCGAAAGATGCCATATAAGATCAAGCACCACCAGAAATGAACATGGTACATGCTGATTGAGAGCTGTGTGAGAATATAAACTGAACAATAATATTTTAGGAACATTGTTTCAAAAAAGCTTCAAGATAAAAATTCATTTTAATTATAGAAATAATCATCGAATTTGAACTAATAAATAGAAAATAGGTAGAAAATAAAAATACCTAAGAAACAAATAGTATGGAAAGAATCAACATAGGAATCTTTTCAAAACGTACATATACACAAACACACGCACACAAACGAAGACGAATATACGCATACAGAAATATAAACACATACAAAAACAGACATAAGTAATGGGCTATAGCTAAACCAAATTCATTCAAGTTTTCAATTAAATATAGAACTAATTTGAAGTTTGTAATAAAGTTTATAAATTAATATCAAGTTAACGAGTACATAATTAAAAATTGTTTAGTAACATTTATAAGACATTTTATCAGATTCCTTTTCCCGTCTATCTTACTTGTAGCGCACTTGAACAAAAGCTCATCGCTGATCGCCAGACTTTGAAATAAAAATCACTCAAAATACAAAATATTAATTAATATATATATATGAACAAAATATTAAAACTTGAAGCATGCAAAAAATTTGGTGAAGGTAAAAGTATGGAAGTGTAAAATATCAAAATTAACATTTAAGGAAATATCTTTGGTGAAGCATTTTTATAAAATATAATTTACAAATGAATTGAAGAGAAAACTTCGAAATACGTACAAAAAATTTATTTTTGTAAAAATAAATGTATCAACGGTGAATTAAGTATGAAAATTTTAATAATAACAATAAAAAGTGTGAAAATAATTTCAAAGAGGAATGTTAAACAGATTGCACTTGGGCTTTTAATTAAGTAAAATCAATAAATAACCTCACAATAGAGCAAGCTTTAAAAAAAACTTTTTGATTTAATTAAATACAAATATTTATACTTAACACCAACATATTCAATTTATATCATTTCAACACATGTCAGGCAATGAATTGTAATACAAAGTTCAGTGATAAGAAATTTTTTTTTAAATGTTGAAAACAAATTTTAAAAGAGGTTGCCGAAATGTGTGTTTTGAATTTGAAAACATATTGTGGATAATTAGTCGGGTTTCTGCACTTAAGTTCCTGTTTAGGAGAGTTAAAAAAACCATCAAACTTAATTTGAAATTATGATTTTTACAGAAAATTTTAAGCTAATGACAATAATATAATAATGATAATTAATGACAAAAATATAAATTTGAACAGAAATTACAAACTTATAAGACAACTATTACAATGATCTTTATGGATGTTTGTTTGGTGTCAAAAGACAAACGAGATGAATTAACAAACAAACCGTGATGATGGTGGTTGCATATAATTATGTGGATTGATTGATTGAATGAATGAATGAATGAATGAATGAATGAATGAATGAATGAATGAATGAATCAATCAATTAATCAATCAATTAATCTAGAATGCAATACAACGCGAACTCCATCTAACTGGATGGAACCAGTCCAGATATTGCATACTATTTAAAAGTTATTCAGTTGGATGGACGAATGTTCATGTTGAATAAAAACACTTCATAATATCATAAACACGACATCATAATGGCGAATCATAATAAGGAAATAACGGACTGAAACGAGTAGATCGATAAATAGATAAACGAATGAATGAATGAATAAATGAATGAATGAATAAATGAACAAATGAATGAATGAATGAACAAATGAATGAATGAACAAATGAATGAATGAATGAATAAGACGTGATTGAAGGAAGGAAACAATTGGTACCTTGCCATGTTAGGCATTAATTTTTTTCTTCATCATTACCTGGCCAAGATTTTTCATTGATTTATTTTTGTCGGAAACTTTATTGACGTAGTTCGAATTATTGTGGTTGTTGATGTTGTTATTGATGCTTTTTTTGTTGTTGTTGCTGCTGCTGTTGATGTTGTTCATCTTGTTGGTACTTGGTTTATTATTGAGTGATATGACGTTCCTCTTAACGAATATGTCATCGTCGTCATTCTCATCGTCAGCACTGCTATCTCCAGACATTCCAGCCATTAAGAAGCCATCTTCATTGTCTGAGGGCAAAATTATGATCAATGTCGGAAATAAAACCACAGAAACAAAAAATAATAACCTAGCAAAAGATATCATAAAACAAAAAAAAGTTTAAGTGTCCCCGACAGTTAGGCTCTCTGAGGTTCATCGTTTAAATCTTTCCTGCTTCCTTACATTACTATTTTTCTAGTATAAATTAGTCCACCCATCAAATAATTAGTAAATAACGAATAACCTTAAAAATAATTAACAGCTTAATGAATAACAAATGAGTTGATAGATTTTTATATAAATTTACGTTTTAAACTTGAAGAACAATGGTCAGCATTCAAAAACAAATTAAGTCAGTTTCATTTACACGTTTCACGTACATTAGAAACTATGATTCAAAAATAGACACCAATGACAATAATAATGTAGTTGAAAGTCGAACCTTGGAAGAGCATTTCGTTTTTGCTGCTTCTACTGTTCAGTTTCTTCATTGACAGCATCTTGTACTTGTTTCTCAACTTGGCCTTGCTGCATTTTAACCTGACGTTCAAAATGTTAACAGTCATTCATTCATTCATTCATTCATTCATTCATTCATTCATTCATTCATTCATTCATTCATTCATTCGTTCGTTCATTCACTCATTCATTCATTAAATATTTTGTGCTTGTGGTTCTTAGGAAGTGTGTAAGACAAGAGTTGAAGCAAGCAAACATGCAGATAAATACCTACGAAGCAAAACTATTAAACAAACCAATGATAATAAACGCTGATTAGTCAGCAACAACAAAAATAAATATTTTAAAAAGAAAACTAACTTTTTCATCAAACAGACGACGCAACATGAAAGGGAGGCGACAACGAGCAGAAGTAGGAAGGCGAACAAGCCTATGTTCACCACACTCCAATCTGAAACAAACATTACAACAGTCACCGTTTTATACACTTATGAACAGAATCAATCGTAAATAACAGTAAAAAACAATGCAACAACAATAAAAAAAGACCGTGAGAGTAATAAAATACAGTTCACACACATATGCATTCAGCTCATGCTGTGTTATGCTTAATGAACAGAAAATTAAATAAAGAGTTTAGCAAATTAATTCATCAATTTTTACAAAAAAAACACGAAATTAATCGCGAGCCATGTTTTTTAGGGTAAATGTAAAGATAAAAAACACACGATGTTTTGGCAAGTTTTAAACATTCTAATCGATGGGTTAACAAAAATGGTGGACAGCTGTGGTAGCCAGATGTTCAAATGGTGATCGCTTTTGACATGAGACAATAAGTGATGAAACGTACAAATGAATGTGTGTGTACACTTGAGTGAACGAATGTTAAATGACGGTATATGACGTGCATCTGTATGCACGAAGATGCATGAAGATGCATGAAGGCAGTGTACATGGCAGTGTGAATGGCTTCAAAGATAGAACGTCAACAACGGGAAAAAATAAATTAGCATAAAAATATATCAGGAAACAAATCACTTGGATGCGAATGATAGGAATTTTATTAAATTTTCATAATGAATAAACTTTGAAATCACTCATCATGATAATCACCGTCATTAACTTCTTGGAAATTATTATATTATTTTATTAACATTTATTCATCATCATAACGAGTGAGAAACTGTGGAATCATTATTATGTATACAATAGCACAATTACGTTGTTAAAAAGTTTTTTTTTAATATAAAATATATGTTAATAATGTGACTGTGTGTGTGTGTGTGTGTGTGTGTGTGTGTGTGTGTGTGTGTGTGTGTGTGTGTGTGTGGAATCGTAAGCACAAACCAAACTAATTACTCCAGATCTTATGATAAGACGATGAATAATTTGTCACATCACCCACCGATTAAATCTAGCAGGTATAAGCTAAATTTAAAAACTTGAATAAAAAGAAAGCAGACATGTTCGCTGGCAACAACTAACAAAAAAAAACATCAAAAATCCACAAAAAA